CCCCCTATAAATGCACGTATGCTTCGCACTTTCCATCTTCCATCTTCATTTTCATTCTCTTCTTCAAAACCAATTTGCTGCCATCGTTTGGCATTCTGACAATCAATCCAAAACATTCGTCTTCTATAAAGATGGATTGTTTGGTCCGCCCATTTTACTACTTCTCTTGATATCATCTTTGTTATGGGAGATATAGGAAATATTTTTTGGCCAGCAGCAAAGTTTTTCCCATCAAAGTTCTTCCCATCATCTCTTTGTTCTTTACAGGGGGTTCGATGATAGAAGGCAATTTTTGGAATGCTTGCGGGCCACCTTGCTTGCTGAGAGTGCTTCTCATCCTCTTTGCCTGCCATTGCAGCGATGCATTTAGGAAGTCGGTGCGAGGCCAGTCCACCCTCTTACTCGGCAATCGACCGAAAAATTAGCTTACTTTTAATTGTAGTTTGTAGAGCATCCATTATTTGTATTTTGCATCTTTGTAATAAACGTTTGATAATAAAGGACTTTATTTGAACGTATTTCGCTCAGACCTTGTTATCCTTAATCGTTCAACATGTTTTGATTATGCTTTTATCTGTTCACATTCCCATAAAGAAGGAACATATTTTTTCAAATATTTGCCGTTAATGAATCTCACGTGTTTGGTGCCATCTAAATCTTCCAAATGATACGCTCCATTGGGCAACACACTGTTTATTTTGTATGGTCCTTCCCAATTGGGTGACCACTTCCCATACTTTGGGTCCTTACTATCCAAAGGGAGTATCGTCTTCCAAACTAATTCGCCCAGGCTGAACGACTTGGCTATGACTTTTTTATTATAAAATTTAGCCATTTTTTGTTTTTGAACTTGCAATCTATCTAAAACGCCCAACTTTAATTCGTCCCACCCCAATAAATTTTGAACTAGTGCTTCGGTATACTCATCATCATTTAACTTATATTACAAGCACACTCTAATCGATTGCACGTTGATTTCCATAGGCAAAACAGCCTCCTGTCCATAAGTAAGTTGGAAAGGAGTAATTTTCGTACTTGACCGAGGTGATGTTCTATAAGCCCACAAGGTCTTATTCAGACATTTGTGCCAATTTCTGGCATTTTCATCTATCATCTTTCTGATTATATTTTTTAGAATCTTATTAGAAGATTCTGCTTGTCCGTTGGATTGAGCGTAATATGGTGTGAAGTTTACTAATTTAATCCCAAACTCGCTCAAAAATTTGTTCACTTGATCCTCATTCAAAGATGTTCCGTGATCCACCATCAACGTTTGTGAAATTCCAAACCTATAAATGATGTGATCACGGATAAACTCTATGACATTCTTTTGGGTGATCTCTTTCAAAGGTACCGCCTCTACCCACTTGATGAAATAGTCGGTTGCAACTATAACAAAAGTATATTGCTTGGACGATGGGGGATAAATCTTCCCTATTAGATCTATCGTCCAATCCTTGAACGGCCAAGGTTTAATAATAGGTGCCATCTCTCGTGCTGGCGCCCTTTGTATTGGACCATGATTTTGGCATGCTAAACAACTCTTTGCATACTGAACGCATAATTCTCCCATCTTTGGCCAAAAATATCCACTCCTAATAATTAACCATCTCATCTTTTGGCCAGCGTGATGAGCTTCACATATCCTTTCGTGCACCTCAGCCATGATCGTCTTGGCTTTTTGCAAATTTACACACTTTAGCAATACACTATCAGAGCGTTTCTTAAACAACTCTTCATCTATTAGTGTATAGTTCAGCAAACACAACTTCATTTTCCTACTAATCCCTCCATTAGGTTCTTTAAGGAACCTTTTAATCTCTGTTCTCCAATCCATTGCATCTCCATCTTGTATGTAGTGAAGTTCAATCATTCTCGCCCTTCTTTGAGTCACGGGCAATATGGTTCCATACTCACAAGTAGACTTCCAATTCAAAACATTTGAGTACCCTGAGGTCATTTGGGCCAACTCATTTGCCACGTCGTTATATATCCTATTAACGCATTGAAGTTCTACTTGGTCGAATTCTTCTAACAATTCTTGGGCGATCTCATGTTGACTTATAATGGAATCACTTTGGCATTTAAAATCACCAATCAATTGGTGAATTACCAATTGAGAATCGCCCCTAACGATCACATTTTTTACTCTCATAACTATCATTAGTTCTAGGCCTACGTTTAAGGCTTCATATTCGGCCTGATTGTTGGTGCACATCCTGTCTAAAGTGAATGCGAACTTATAGCAAATCCCTAAAGGATTAATCAATGCTACTCCTACTCCTACACTTTTAGAGGTTTTTGACCCATCGAAATACAACACCAAAGGTTTTAGCTCGAACGAATTGATTTCTAATTCAATTTCTTCAGGCATGTCAAGGCATGGATGATCGGCTAGAAAGTTAGCCAAAGCCTGATTTTTGACTGCCTTTTGGGGTATATATTGTATCTCGAATTCTGATAAAGCTAGTGTCCAAAGGCCTACCCTTTGGTGTAAAATAGGGCGCGAGAACATATACTTAACTAAATTTACTTTAGAAATTAAATAAACGGTTACGGGCCGTAAATAAGCCCTTAATTTTGTACATGTGAAATACAATGCAAGACATAATTTTTCTATAGCAGAGTAATTACATTCATATTTTGTTAACCGTCTACTTAAGTAGTAAATTGCCCTTTCTTTACCACATTGGTCTTCCTGTGCGACCATTCCAGCTATTGATTCTTTTTCAGCCGATACGTTCACTTTCATTGGCCGTCCTTGGATTGGTGACACCAACACTGGTGGGCTTGATAAATATGTCTTCAGGCTTTCAAAAGCCTTTTGATGTTCTTCTTTCCAGACGAATTCGTCCTGATTTTTCAGCTTTAAGAGTGGCGAAAAGACTTTAGTTCGCCCTACACAGTTAGAAATAAAGCGTTTTAAAAAGTTTACTTGGCCTAGAAACCTTTGCAATTCTTTTTTGTTGCTAGGTGGTTTGGCCTCTAAAATGGCCTTCGCTTTATTTTTATCAAGTTCAATCCCTCTTTTGTGTACCAAGAAACCAAGAAAATTCCCTGCATTAACACCAAATGCACATTTCAAGGGATTCAACTTTAGCTTATATTGTTTCATTCGCTCAAACGAACATCTTAACTGTTCGAAATGGTCATCTTCTTTAATGGATTTGACTACTATGTCATCTACATACACTTCAACAAACTTGACTATCATATCATGAAAGATTAAATTCATTGCCCTTTGATAAGTTGCCCCTATATTTTTTAGGCCGAAAGGCATGACCACCCATTCAAAACATTCTAGAGACCCAGGGCATCTAAAGGCAGTTTTGTGTATGTTTTCTTCAGTTATATAAATTTGATTGTATCCTGAATACCCATCCATGAAAGAATACATGACGTATCCGGCAGTCGAGTCTACTAAAGAATCCACCGTGGGCATTGGATACTCATCTTTGGGTATAGCTATGTTTAAGTTCCTAAAGTCTATGCACACCCTTAGTTTACCATTCTTTTTTAGTACTGGTACGATATTGGACAACCATTCGACATACCTGACTGTTCTAATAAAGCCTGTTTTCAATAATCGCTCTATCTCTTTCTTAATCTCAGGGAGTACATTAGGAGCAAAACGTCTAGGAAGCTGTCTATGAGGTTTAAAATTAGGCTTAGTTGGTAACCTATGTTCCACCAAGTCTCTATCTAAACCAGGCATTTGTTCATATTCTCAAGTAAAACAATCTTTATACTCCTTTAACAAAGCGATTAATTTATTACTAACCTCTTGATCTAGTATCTGGCTGATGAATGTTAGACGATCTTCTCCTTCATAAAAAGGGATCAGACGATTGTGTAAGGGACAAACCTCTTGAGACAAAGTCCCAAAAAGGGGTGTTCTTTATTGGCTATGACTTTACAATCGGAAAGTAAAAACAGAGTGCCTCCACGGGGCGCAAGCACACGAGTTACTGAAAGAAGTGTTTAAATTTAAATTAAGAAATTTAAAATTACATGTTCTCGTTCGAGAGTTTTTTGATTCGATTCCTTTGCTCTATGTCTTTCCTTCCCTTTATACTCCCTGGATGATCTCTTTGTGATCAACTGCCTAAAAACTGCTTGATCGTTCTATAACTGCCCACTTTCCTCGTAATGGCCAACTTGTCATGGAACTGCCTTTTCTAACTACTGTCATTACTCTTTGTCGTTCAACCGTCTTCAATTGAGTTCCTTGAATCGTGGAACGTGATAGGACTGCTTTAATAACTGCTTTGATAACTGCGCTTCTTGATAACCACAACACTTCATGTTTGCTAAGACTTTGAGCGACTCGAAGGTTTGGGCGAGAATAGAGTAACAGCTCTGGGCGTCTGCATGGCACTCCATTCGCTCAGATCCTGAGAGACTCGCAAGCTTAGGCGATGGTGTTACCGCGTTCATGGGCCTCCCTATTTGTGCCTTCATCTTGAATTGTCTGATTGGGCTTCGTTCTTTGGGCTATCTGATTTGGGGATCCTCCAATTAGGCTTCATTCCTTGGGCCATTTGATTTGTGCTGAATTTTTATGTGTCAACAATAAAAACAAAAAAAAATTGTCAAACAAAGTGACTCGCACCTTTTTCGTATAAGCTCACGTCTGGCCATCAACGTGAAGCTGAATGCCTCTTATTAGAAGCCATAAAATTAAAATAAGTAGAAGTCAACCATCATGCAAGCTTTATCAACTATATATGATTAAGCCCATGTTTTGTTCAACTAAAAAACTGATTAAAATCCAAGTCAAAATCGCCAACAATTAAATTTTAACTACATATTTTATGGATTAAAAACTTTTCAATCACACATTCTATCAACTTTTATCAAAATCTTCTGATTTTTTATCTAAATCAACCAAGAGCTAAATCAGCTAGCTATATTTTGTCATGACATCCACCATTGCTGCGTCTTCCTCATTCCTATTATGCTATGATAGTCAAATTAAGCAAATTTCAAAGAGAGACGTATAGAGAATAAAGCATGCAAGATATGTATTATCTAAATTATTTTCGGGATTCTCAACATCTTTGGTTAAGGTTCATAGAAATGTCATATTCAGAACTCATGACATAGATGTCACACAAATGGCATCTGTAAATGAGGATTACAAAATCCACAAAGCTAGTAGTAGCTTTTATTGGCTGGTGAAGTCTAAACATATGGAGTTCTTGGATGAATTGAGTACAAATTGACTTCAATATCTATGCTCCATCTTCTCCTTTTCCAGGTACCACTGCACATACCTGCAGACACAAACAAGAGTGAGAAAGCAAATCTCAACATAACAGCATTTGCAGCAACATATAACTCAAATGCGTTCAACTAGTATGTTATTTTAACAATAACTATAGGAAAGGAAATGTTAGTACATTGAACAGTAATTCAACACGTAAATTATATACTCTCATGTTCAAATACAAGCAATACAGGAACACATTTCAATCTCATGTCCTGACAACCGTCACAAGAAATATCAATAAGCAGGTCAAAAAGAGTGCTGCTAGAGTAAGAGAAAAGCAATCATTTATAGTGCAATTGTTGTTGTTGTTGTTGTTGTTTGTTGTTGTTGTTGTTGTTATTATTATTATTCTTTTGTGATTTAAAAAATGACACAACGGATGGAAGAAATGATTCAGGGAGCCAAATCCAAATTTATTGGGAATAAGGTTTAATTTGTTACTGTCATTGTTTGTTATCATGTAAGCATATATAATTCCACTGCACTTCATTATAAGAAGACTTAGTGATTCATAACTAAATTGGATCAGGCAGTTTTGCGATTAAATTACATAATATTTACTAGTCACTATGGAAGATTTGATTATAAACAAAGATTTTGAACCAACAAATTATGGTGTAATTATATAGACAGAGAAATATGTTATTAGACGATGAATTTCTTCTTAAAAACAGGATATCTTTTAAGTGTCATAGATTTTCCAAGTCCATAAATCGTTGGAAATGTCAAACCATTTCACTTAGCCTATGTTTAGCTAATGTTAATAAACAATCATATCCACACTCGAGGGTCCCACAAGTAGTATCCACTTAACTACTATTTATTTCTCAATCAATAATTTAATTGTTCATAAACACTTCCCAAACAAGCTTTTAATTGGTCAGGTTGAAGTAGCAAATGAAATGTACAATATAAACTGGAGAAGATTCAAAACAAAGCATGCATCCTCCTTGTAGTGAACTAACTACAAAGATAAATTCATTGAAAGGAAAAATTACGGGTACATACATTCACTCCCCTACATGTTATCAAAGTCATATAAAGACAACAAAATTGATATCAAGCATGTAAGATCAGTCACTAGTTCTTATGACTTTGTTACCGACCCTTCAATGTTGAGCCCATTTTCTAGGAATATGAAAAGATCTGGAAAATTTCAAAGAGAAGTATATTTTCTCAGTCGTATCAAACATGTACCGTCAATCACCAGTCTGTATACTTGGAGATAATTTTCCAACGGGTCCTGAACAGTGCATTTGTAAAAGAACTCGAAATTTTGCCTGAGGCATTTCTAAATTTCACCATACAGGGAATAGGAACATTTTTTTAATACTTCTCTCAATGTGATCCATTTCGCAGTTTGCCTAAAAAAGCACTGGATTTTCACTTCACACTACATTAAACACAATTTGGGTCAATGCGAAAAATCCACCTTTTTAGTCATATTAGCATAACATTTTGTTGTTTGAACAGATTACTGAGAAAATATTTTAACGTAATTAGCTTCACAATTCTTATAATATCATTTTGTTATAATCCATTCGATTATTTATTTATTTATTTATTCAGAGAACGTTGACACTTACCATCGCTGCCAATATAAAAATTATATCTACCCATTGGGAAATTTGAAGTCATCCACTGCCACACATACACAAACACCAAAACAATATAGAAGTTTGTTTTTCTTCTTCAGTTCACTACCATAATTCGTAATTAAAAGTCCCACAATTAAAAGAATCAATTTAGAAATAGGAAATACTTATGATTTGGTCCATATCTGTTTTAGACAAATCATTTCACAAACAACCATATTTACACAATCCTATATGGAAAAAATCATAACCACAAAAAGTCCAATAACAAACAAATCCATTCAGTACAAGCAAACAGTAATATATCTATGTAATCAAAATATGATTTACATATATAAAGATTGAACTCACGAGTAGGTTCCGACGAGAGGACCAAGGAGGAGAGTGGCGCTGATCCAATTCTCGGAGATCTTGTGACTAATCTTGCCAGGCAGATCCTTCCAGAGACCCGGCATCACCTTCTGCTGGAACGGCGATAACGCGTACACCACTGCCTTCATCCTCACAGGCTGCTTACCCATTTCTCTTTATCCCGGAGCAACAGTAACTAGGGTTTGATGAAATTTTAGGCAAAACAACCAATCTCAAGAAATTGCATATAGATGAAAGCGCAGAGAAAAATATAAAATAAATGTCAAATCCGTAATTTATCCCTGAGTACACTGCTTGAACAGGCCCTTGTTTGTCCCCAGTCGGACGGCTTTTTGATTGGGCCAGTCAATTTTGGGCTTTCTTGAGCGGCTGGGCTGAACGTGTAAACATTGTTAACTGTTCAATTGTATATATAGATAACTTAATGGTATTTTGCTCTTTTTCTTTTGAAAATTTACAAAAGAATAAAAAAATAAAATATATAATAATAAATCTCTACATCTTTATATTGTATTAGAAGTTTACTTTTCAGATTTTGGTGTTAATATTATCCTCACTTTAATTTCTTTCTATAATCAGCATTGAAATTCCTTTTTTTTTTTTTTTTTTTTTTTTTCTTTTTTTTTTTTTTTGCAGTTTACGTACTCATTTTTTATTTTGAAGCTTTTGACTATAAAATTTTTGAAATTTGATTCAAATTATTTAGTAAATAATTTTGAATTCTTGTTTACTTTTACAAGTTTATTCATTAATTGATTATGAATTTAGATATTTTCTGTTTCCAATTGTTCAATAATAAAATAGGTAATTATTTACTAATTTTGTAGTCATTTAATCTCCTATTAACAGAGTTCAATTTTACAGCTAATATATGCTCATGTTCATTATGAACTTTCTATAATTGAATTTATAGATTTTGATTGAGTATATTTCTATAAATTATAGACTTTTTTATGTTAGTATACATGAAAATTCAACTTTTAACTAATAGCTATGAGTTAGTATGTATGAACATTCAATTTTTGATACTATGACTCCAAAAATATTTGAAAATAACATTATTGATTTTGAGAGGAAATAAATAACTTTGAATCAATTAAATTGATGCATCCAACGTGTTCGTGAAAATGAGAATGTAAAAAAGTGACATTCTCTAAAAAAAAGTCTCAGTATCTTGTTGAAATAATTAACTAGATGCATACATATATATTTTGAAAATTTAAATACACGAATTTAAACATTATTTTAATCTTGTATTCATTTCATGTTTCTTTAAATCAATTCCGCTAATGCATTCGAGATATTTGCGAAAAAGAGAATGTGAAAAGTGATGTTCTATGACTTTTCTATAAAAGTCACACCATTTCATTTGAGTAATTCACTAGATGCATGCTTGTTTTGAAAATCTAAATATAAAAATTCAAATATTTTTAATCTTGCATTTAATTCATATTTCTTTAGAATCAATTTAACTGATGCATTCGGTGTGTCTGAGAAAATGAGAATGTAGAAAAGTGACTTTTCTATGAAAAAATCGCAATATTTTCATTGAAACAATTGACTAGATGCATACGTGTGTTTTTGAAATTTAAATATATAAATTCAAACATTTTTAATCTTGCATTTAATTCTTTCTTCTTTTTTTCTTTTTTTTTTGTTTGAATCAATTCAATTGATGAATCCAGTGTGTTTGCGAAAATGAGCATGTGAAAAAGTGACAAAATAAAATTTTTATGAAGAAAGTCGCAATATTTCATTAGAGCAATTAACTAGCTGCATACGTGTATATTTTTGAAAATTTAAATATACACAAACTTTGTTTTAACTTGCATTCAATTCATAAAACCAATACTGTTTAGAACTTCACGTTTAGAAAAGACCTGGAGTGCAAGAGTTCGGTTCAAGGGATTTTACATATATCTTGGAATCAATTCAATTGATGAATCTGTGTTTGTGAAAATGAGAATGTTAAAATGTGACATTCTATCACTTTTCTATAAAAAAATAATCACAGTATTTCATTGGAGTAATTAACTAGGTATATGTGTATGTGTTTTTAAAATTTAAATATAGGAATTCAAACCTTATTTCTAACCTGCATTCAATTAATATCTCTTGAATCAATTCAATTGATGTATCTATGTTATTTGCAAAGAAAAAAGAGAGAGAATGTAAAAAAATGACATTCTATCACTTTTTATATGAAAAAGTCGTAGTATATCATTGAAACAACTAATTAGATGCATACGTGTGCATTTTTGAAAAATTAAATATACAAATTTAACCTTGTTTTAACTTGTATTCAAATCATATTTATTTAAATCAGTTCAATTGATGCACCCAAGGTATTTACAAATAAAGGAATGTAAAAAGAGAACATTCTGTCACTCTTCTATGAAAAGGTGACAGAATTAGGATTTTTTTCCCCTTTCAATTTCTATTTTGACATTCAGCTTATTTAAGGGCTATATTTCTTCATTTGTCGGGTGAAATTTTTGTGATCATTTTGAAGTATTCATAACAAACTTTGAAATACATCTTTCGAATTTAAAAATCAATAAAGAACAAATTCATAATAATAAGTCAAAAATGACCGCAAGAAATGGACTTAAAATTATGGTTTATTTTGCATTCAATAAATCATGTGCGATAATTATTGACATTTAAACTTCGTACATAACATATTTATTAGGTCACATTGCAAGCTTGCTAATAGATTTTGAAATGCTCAAAATGGATAATTGTAGCATAAAATATCGTATCAAACAAAATTTTTTAATAATAAAAATTTTAAAAAGTGAAGAATGTCTGATTGGGAAGTGTGATTTTAAAAAGTGAAAAATATCATATTGGGGAGTGTTGTCATTTGTCTTTGGAATAATAATTCGGACTTTTCAAATTTTTATATTCTTAATGGATGTAATTAATACGGTTATTAAAACTTTTAATTTGATTTAAGTGTATTAATCAATTTCTTCATTTTTGAAGAGTACTTTGTCTAATTTCCTCTTTCATTAATGCCACACTCTTATTTAAAATCAATGTTTTTTCTACAATTATTTTTCATCTCACATTCTTCAAAAGAAATTATTTTTCACATTTTCTCATAATTTTTCTCGTTTTTAATTCACACATTCTTCCCGTAATCACCTCTCAAAAATTAACTTGCCAAAGGCTAAGTAATGATTATGACAGTAATTTTTACTTATTCTTGAAGGAGGAATGAGGGGTTTTACATCCAAAATGTAATGAACATAGAAAATATTGTAAAGACGAAAGGTAATAGGAGTTACAAATTGGACTGTAAACTAATTTGGTTTTAGAGAATATGACATTACACAGTCCCCTTTTTTATTGAGCCATGGAAGCAGTGTGCCGAGTTATAATCAGACACTTTCGAAGAATTTGTGTAACAAAAGTATACTAAAGATCCGTTTAACATGACTTTTAAAAAGTGAATTCTTTCAGATATTAAAAAAATTATTTTTGAACAATTTCGAATAGTTTTCGGAAAGTATTTTGTTTGACTAGAAGAGCTTTTAAAGAAACTTATTTAAGCTAAGTACCCCAAGAAGCTCTTCAACAAGAAGCGAAAGTAAGGGGGCAACACCAGCCAAGTTGGTCGGGCAGTTGGACTAGCAATCGTGAGGTTGTTAGTTCGATTCCCTTTGGAACTGCCTATTGGCCTTCTTGGTTTGAACCGGTCAGCTATGGGTAACCTAGGCTGATTTACTTCCTTGTGGTCCTTTGCCGACTAGGATCACAAGGCGGGGTTTACCTAGTGCGCACCTTCGGGTAGCGGCTGCGAGTTCCCTTATCAAAAAAAAAAAAAAAAAAAAAGGCCTGCAAAACGAACTCTAACTTGTCAAAGGACTCAAAAGCAAACAAATTCTACATCTGTTTACAGACAAACATAGTTAATTAACAAATAAATCCATTAGCCCTTCTACTCCAACCAGCTAAAAAAACATAAAAAAAAAAAAAAGGAAAAAATTTCTGTCTCCTAATCGTTTGCTCATATTTTCACTATCCAGGTTTCTAATCTCAGAGAACCAGCTAGAATTGGATATTAATCTTGGACGATCATAAGGTGCTAACACGCCACCCACGGAAGTTCTTAAGAAGCCTCTTTGAAGAGTGAACAGACAGTTGATTACGACAAATTGCGATTACAAACCAGTTTTGGGACGTTTTATTCCACTGGACGTAAATGGAGATACACTACCCCTTGGATGTGGGCTTTCTTCTCTGAAATTATTCAGCATGGATAGTTCTCTAAGTTGTTGTCTCTTATACATGTCTTCTGAATCATCCTGTAATACAAATCATAACAAGAAAGTTATAAAGGTGCAAAAAAACAGATGGTATCCAACTTAAGATTGAGTTGATAACATTTTATGATCTAGAAGATAACTATGAGAGAACCTCGAATCGATGATGCAAAATCCAACCAAGAAACTACAGATTAAGAAAGAGATGAGAATATAACATGAGGACGTATGAGGATAATGAAATTCTTGTTGTACTTAGAACTTTTAAGTGCCAGTCAAGAACATAGTTAGACATGACTGAGCACTATAATGAACAAGATTTGAGCATTTTTTCTTCTTTAATATTGTCTCGTATTATCCAATACTCTCTACTAAACATGCCATAAATGAAGAAAAAGTTTCACCCTTTACTCTCGTATATTTATAGTTCATTGCGCACTTGATTCCATATGTCCAAAACTCATTTTTCTCATTTCTTATGGATGTTACGGGTTAAGATTCAATGCCTTGTATTACAGAAAGTATGAATGAGCATCAAATATATACCACAGGTTTGAGCAGCTCTTCGATGATCTCTTTTGCTTGTTTCAACCTTAGATCGACAACATTGGCAGGTAATTCCGCCTCTATCAAAATATGCAGTTGCTCATTCAAGTGCTCGTAACCTGGTCTCCCCTTGAGGCTTTGCTCCTTATCAAAACCATAAAAATAATGAACTAATGATATGTACAAGGGCATACACATTCCCAATGACGAAGGATTAAGACATCATTTCGGGAAACAATTTGGTTAGAAATCATAAATCAAATTTTTCAAAAGCTAAGTAATTTACCCTCGCAGGATCTTTTATGGAACCCTTTCCTCTGATAAACACACGGCATCCTGTGGAAGCTTCGACTCGCTTAAGGGAATTGCCACGAGGACCTAAAATCGCCCCACGAAATTGAACAGTTGTCCAAAGAGAATGCAATAGGTGTTGGTTCTAATAACTATTTCAGAAAAATGAATACCAATTCAAGTACAAAGGTTGTGTTTTTGTGCTTACATTTGGATATCTATCAACAGGTAATTCCAAGCGCATTACCCGCTTCACTACGAATGAACTGGGACTTCCCCATGCCTCTTGCCAGTCTATGTTCATACCCTGTGGCCCACTTAATTTCTGCTGCACAAAATTATTTTACTATAGGTGGCATAAAGTCTTAAACTTGAAACTACGACCAAGAAGGGCAAATCAACAGAGTAAATTTAGAAGTATAAAACAGAAAGTAAGGTACTGTACATTCTTGACTAATAAATATAGTACACATTTGATTGCAGAAAGCAATGCTCTTCTAAATGGTCTTGCAGTTTTCTCAAGTCGAAGTGGACTCAGATTCCAGGCATTATTGTTGTGCAACAGAAAAATGCGGTCAGAAAAATACATTATAGAGGATAAATCATAAGTCTTCATACTAGTTTCATTCTCACTTTCTTTGCAAAGAAAACTCCCCAGCTGATGTTAGGCAACTCGTGTTATGATATTGTTACCATAACTCAATCCTTCATATCTGTTGGACCTCCAAAGGATTGTAGTAAATGATATTAATGACACGATATGAAGTAATAAAGATCATAACGAGAAACAAGATTTAAAAGTAAGGAAATTTACAAAGAGAGTTAATTACAGAAGTAAGACGTTTTATTAATCGACAATATGGAGAGAAATACAAGAACTCAACAATTCTTGCTTGAACAAAACTAAAAAAGAAGACCACTATTTATAAGTACATGGTATAGCATAAAGATGGAAATACCATGGAATAAAGAAATAATATATTTCTATAAAAATCACGTGATATATAAGAAAACAAATTTTTCCACATGAAAATAAGGAAATAATTTATTTCCCAAAAAAAAAAAAAATCAATCCTAATTTGGATCACAAACCCAACAATCTCTATCTTGACCCAAAGTGCAACAAACGAAATTTCAAGATTTCAAATCCATCATCTCCTCAACACAGTAACCAAAAGCCTCCAAATCAAATCGTCATCCTCTGCAACGTGTCCACAAGCGACACCTGAACCCAAATCCCTGGTTCCCAAAATTTCACTGAAGAATTACTATTGACCAAACAAGGTCGAAGCGCACCCTGTAGCAGAAACCATACAACATGCTGGATCAGAAGGCCTCTTGCTAGAACTGTCACTTTCAACGTCCCCAAAAATATCCCAGACATTATTGACACCACAGTACCTATGCTCCATAAGTCCAACCCTAGCAAATGAACACAGTGTGTCTGCTGAAATTGATGGCAAAACGGAATCACCAATGCTCCCCTGAGCAATGTCTAAACCAACCCAGAGCCCTTCATTAGAGGTATTGTATCAAACTGAATATTCATTACGGTACTGAATTTGTCCCGATGTCTGTTAACTGGTTCTGTGCTTCCCTGCAAGATGTACAACTGAAACTTCTTCTGTCCCTCCAATACAACCTGGACACCCATTCGGACTTTCAAAACTCCACCTCCACTAGATAATTTACACCCTTTTGCATTCAGAGTACTAAGTGAGATGAGATTCCTTTTCAAGTCTGGAACATATTGAACCTAATTAATTGTTCTGACTGTCCCATCCCGCAACTTTAATCTGACTCGACCGATTCCATCAAGACTGGTTGTTTTCCATCACAACTTCACCTTGTTTGACAGCCTCATATGTTTGAAAGAAATTTCGATTGGAACACATATGATGCGAACATGCCGAATCGAGAATCCACTACTCGTTAAACCTAGATTCCATGTTAGATACCATGGTCAACATCACATCTCCGTCGTCTGAAAAATTCTCGAATGTATTTGTTTCGTTTGAAGTCAAAGGTTGCGCTCCACAATTTGTAGCTAAATTACCTTTAGCCTTCAACTTATCACAATCCTTTCGAATATTTCCCTTACGTCTGCAGTAGAAGCAAAATAAATTGCTGCTATTCTTCGATCTGCCCCTCTGTCGACCATCATGAGATACAAGAACTTCCTCATCCCTTGATGTAGTTCCAATCAAATACTTCAACTTCTCTTTTGAGTGCAAAGCATCGTAGCCGCTCGGCTCGTGGCTGCTCACCAAGCTGGCTCGTGGCTCGTCCACAAAAAAAAAAAATAATAAAATAAAAATTTCAGTGACCAGAACGGTCACTGACAAAGTTCAGTGACCGTTTTAGTCCCTGATTTATTTTTTTTCAAATTTCATTTTCTTCCTATAAATATCCATCAATTACAACATTTTTTCTTACCAAACTTACTATCAATCTCTTATTCTCTACTATACTCTCTACAACTTAATTATTATCAATATCATTCATTCATTCATTCATTCTCATTTCTATACTCTTCTACATTTTATATTCATATCATTAAATTATAATCTTGATTTTACAATATAGTTTCTACACTACTACATAACCTTCATTCATTTCTCAATTCTACTTCACTTCTTTTTCTTCAACATTCAATTTCAATTAATCACAAATGGATTCACGCTCATTTATTGAAAACTTGTTCGATGTCGGAGTCGGAAATGAAGCAAATGTGTCCCATAATCAATATGGGAATGAGTTCGCCGGTCTAAATGAAGTACCCATTCTAGAAAATATTGAAGATTACAATGTTCATGAAAGTAGTCATCAAATTAATTTGGATGACGTTGATGCTGAGGCTCCAATTGATTTGGAACAGGATGATGAACCTATTATTGAAATTCCCGATGCAAGAGGGAAGAGAAAGGTAAAGAAGCATGCAAAATGTTGGGATCATTTTAAATTGGTTCAAACTGGTCGTATCGTCGATGGAATTCCAGAAACCAAAGCAGTATGTAAATACTGTCAACAACGATTGGCTCATCAAAAAGGCATTGGAACCACCCACCTCAACCGTCACTACAAAGCATGTACGGCCAAACATGGTCTTCTTCCTGTTGGTCAAACGCAACTACAATTTGGTACTTCAGGTAGCGGTGCTACTACTACTACGCCATTTAATACATGGATGTATTCGGAGGAAAGAACTCGAACAGGAATGGTGAAGTACATTGCCGGATCTGAGTTGTCACTAGCACAAACGGACAACCAACATTTCGTTACATTTGTCAAAGAATGTCTTCAACCGAGGTACGCTGGGGTAAGTCGAAATACTCTTTGTTCTGATACAATAGAATATTTTTTAAATGCAAAGAAAACATTGATTGCCGATTTAAAAAAATATGGGGGTGTAATATCTTTAACTTCGGATTTATGGGAAGGGATTAATAAAAGAGGTTATATGGCTGCAACTGCACACTATATAGACCCACTTTGGATCATGCATAAAAAAATAATTGCTTTTAAAATTATTGAGTACCCGCACAATGCTCCCAATATATTTAGTGCTATTATGAACGTTATTAGAGAATATAAATGCGAGAGTAAAATTCGTTCTTTTACGTTCGACAACGCTAATGTAAATAAGCCTGTTATCGAGAAATTGCAAAGAGTACTTCAACCTGAATTTGGTGGTTTTTTATTTCATATTCGATGTGTATGTCATATTTTAAATTTAATAGTACAAGATGGTTTAAAACATGTTAAGGATGAAATTCAACGAATTAGGGATGCACTAATTTATATTACTATTTCACCTAGTAGAAAACAAGCATTTGAGGACTTTTGTGCCGAACATGGGGTGTCGCATTCAAAAACTTTTATTAGTGACGTAGCGCATAGATGGAACTCCACATATTTATTATTAAAATCATGTGAATGTTTCGAATATTTAATTACTGAATTTTATAACAGTATGCATTTTAGAGACGACGAGGAAACTGTTTTGATTGAGTCCGATTGGATTTTAGTTACTAAAATTAAACATTTTTTGAAAAGTTTTTATGATGCTACAAATATTTTGTCCGATGTTTATTATCCTACTAGTTGTATGGTCCTTCAACGTCTTTATCTAGTTGCTAAGGCTTTTGATAGATTTAAAAATGACCCCGATTTTAGTTCAGTTATAAATGTCATGGAATTAAAGTTTAGAAAATATTGGGAAGACTTGCCCATGTTATTTCCGTTAGCATGCATCATGGACCCCCAATATAATTTATCTGGTACTAAATTTATAATTGAACGAATGTCAGAATCTTTAACTTTTAACATAGCTATTACCTATAAGAATTTGGAAGCAACTTTATCTGAAATGTATGTAATATATGCTTCACGAATGGGTACACAAGTTACTCGTGTACCCTTCGGCTCTACAAGTACTCCTCCCACTAATTTAGGAGATGACGACGCTGAAATTTTAAATTTATTTGAAGGTATGAACTCATATAGATATGATCAAATTGGAAATGCATATGATTCCTCCAATCATAGTAGTTTGTCTTCTACTGCATGTACTAGTGAAAATGTGTTGCCTGCTGAATTACTTGATTACTTTAATCATAATTGGCCTAGTAACAATGCATTAAGAAAAAATTCAGAAGAAGTAGTTGACTTCTGGCGAAAGTATGAACGCCGATGGCCAATAGTTTCTGCAATGGCAAAAGTCTACTAACACCTCCGATTAGCACTGTAGCTTCGGAATCTGCTTTTAGTGCAGGATTTAGGGTTCTCTCTGATGTTAGGAATCGACTAAAAGAAGATGTTTTGGAAGCATTAATGTGCGTGAAGGACTGGCAAGACGCTCATTTTCGACTGCAAAATAAATATGCCGAAATTGCATGTAGTCAAGTAAGTGATATTTAGTTTAATCATATTTATGACGAATTTTTATTTTAATGCCTTTATAATTTTTAAAAAAAAATTGTACACGTAACAAGTTGTTCGTGTACAATTTTTAACTCCGCCTACTCGAAATAAGAACTATTGAAGTAGCCGGTCCCAAACCCGGATAAAAAAGGAGGGTTTATATTTTTATTATTTTTATTATTTTAAAAAGGAAAAATATTTTGAAAAATCATTTTACAATTTCTCATATCATATTTAATTTTATCATTTATAAAATAATGATTTTCAATCAATATGTTTTCTTCAAAATAAACTTGAAAATTAAAATATATTAAAATATATTAACTAAAAATTATTTATAACTTATAAGTAAAAAATTAAATTATAATTAAAAAAACTTATAAGTTATAAGTAAGTATTATTTATAAGATAAAATCATAAAAAAATACATTATAATTAAAATTACTTATAAATTATAACTTATAAGTTATTAGTAAAACATACTTTATCTAAATAAATTGTTTACAAAATAAAAATACTTATAAGATAAAAATTTATCAAAATTGTATTTTTTAAAAAATATTTAGAAAGAAAACGTGTATAAAAATTAAAAATTAAAAATTAAAAAAGGAGCTTACGGGCCGAGCTCGAGCTCGAGCTCGTGAGCTGGGCTCGTCCCCACCAACGAGCCACGAGCTCGTGGGCCGAGCCGAGCTCTTTTTTTTTGACGAGCCGAGCTTGGCTCGTGGGCAACGAGCCCGAGCCCGAGCACGAGCACGAGCACGAGCCGAGCTCGTAGGGTAACGAGCCGAGCCGGCTCGGCTCAGCCCATTGACATCGCTACAACTATACAAAATGATGTCCTGAAACGACGTATAAGAGTCAGGCAGCGAACATAACAAGATCAAGGTAAGATCCTCTTCATCGTACTTAACCTCCAACTTTTTCAAATCTGCAACAATTTCTTTGAACACGGCAAAATGGTTTTCCAACGACTCTTCTTCCGCCATGTGATGGGAATACAACTTCTGATTTAGAGCTAGTTTACTGGTAAGACTTTTGATCATACATAACTGCTCCAATTTCAACCACAAAGCAGCTGCTGTTTTCTCTTTCAAGACATTCTGCAGAATATCGTTGGATAGATGAAGATGAATCAACGAAAAAACCTTTCGATCCCTCCGTCGTTTCTCCTCTGTTGTCCAATTAGCTAGCATCTCCTCATAATCCAGTAGCACATCATCAAAATCCAACTACGCCAGAATAGTCCTCATCTTTACTTGCCACAAAGAAAACCTTGTATTACGATCCAGCACTGTAATGTCATACTTCATAGTAGTCATCTCTGAAAAAACCTCAACCAATCCTGAGAAGAAGAACCAAGCTCTAATACCATTTGTTGGACCCGAGAGGATTGTAGTGAATAAGATAAATGACACGATATGAAATAATGAAGATCACAACGAGAAACAAGATTTAAAAATAAAGAAATTAACAAAGAGAGTTAATCACAGAAGTACGGCGTTTTATTAATCAACAATATGGAGAAATATACAAGAACTCAACAATTCTTGCTTAAATAAAACTGAAAGAGAAGACCACTATTTATAGGTACATAGCATAACATAAAGATCAAAATAATGTGGAATAAGGAAATAATATATTTCAATAAAAATCACATGAAATATAAGAAAACAAAATTTTCCACATGAAAATATGGAAACAATTTATTTTTAAAAAAAATAAAAAATCCACCCTAATTTGGGTCACAAACCCAACAAGATCTTCTTTATTTTCTTATGAGCCAAATAAATTCATAAAGAGCATAACTTTCTCCTAATTCTGAAATTCCAAGCAAATCTTGAACAGACACTTCGGAAGGAGACGAAATTCATTTTAATCAGACAAAAATCTCATTCGTCCTGACAATTGTTGTTCGTATCAGATTATTGTCAGATTAACCAATGGCAAAATCAGTACCCATCATAAAAATGTACATCTTCTAGTTCTGCCAATGTAGACTGATATATGGTTGGAGCTGGGAGAATGGAAAAAGAAATGGTTAGATTAAAAGTTCGAGTGAAGCTATCTAGGTTATAGTCTTAGAAAGAGTCGTAATAATGATGTACACCAAAAAGAGAGAAAATGCCTCCTTTAAGGGTTACAGAGACATGAATTACATTAACATAAACAGTACAAAGTGTTGGGAATTGACTTAAACATGTACAGCGAAATTTAACAAATTTCAATTCCCATTCAGGATTCAGCTTTGTATTTAGATAAAAACTGTGATAAGAAATATACCTTTTGTGTGATTTGCAAACTCTTTCGCGTTATTCCTTTCCAGCAGCTTGAATCTGCCTCCCACAGCTGTCCAATTGTGCAGCCTCCAATGAAATCCACACAGAGAGAAAACAGCAACTGCTAGGGTTTCTTTCTTGTGCTAGCAAGAATAATGAATAACTTAATGGACCTCAAACCCTAGCTGCATATATATATATAAATCCAAACGGACCCGACCCGGTCGGGTCCAATATTTAATTAATCCAATTAATCAAACCCGGTCCGTGAATTAATTAATCCAATTAATTAATTCGGGATTATAAATAAGAAATTCAATTAATTAATTTATCCAACGATTGTTAAATTAATCAATTGACAATTTGCAGTCTTCCAATTCTCTTTTGTGTGCGACCCATTAGGTTCCCGACCACGATGCCTAACGTCGTGAAATATTATTTTGATCTAATCAAAATCGATAAATTAATACACCCTTTTAATTTATCGTCAATTCACATTCGCCGTCCCTGATTGACATCTAGCAATGTGTCAGGGCAATACATATGACGGGAAATGTCACGTGGTATGACAAAACCAAATTCGTTCGTTCACCGTGGAACTATTATCCCTTCGTCAATACGATCCGATCAATTACGAGATATGGAATTGTGTCAATCTCGATCATCGATCATATCTTTCATTCCACTATTAAGTCAATATAAATCGAAAACTCCTTTTCGACTTGGCCAAGGATTTCATCATTGACTTAATTGAATGAAACGCAGATCATAATCTCCTACTATCTAAGAGTGACGAATCCTTTATTGATCAATCACAACCTTCATACGATTCTTGACACACCCGAACGATGTCGTATTAGAGGCCCCTTTCAGAGCAACATCCAACACCGCCAAAGTGTGACTGTCCTCATATAAGGTATCACGACGACCTCAAGTCAAAGGGCCAATTCCACTACCGAACGTTAGAGATTAGCCACTGACACTCAGATAGTTATCCATATGGAATCTCTTAGTGGGTCTCCAATGTTTTGTTCTATATCAAAACATCCACGTGTTCATTTAAGTGTCACCACACTTTAGCTCGTGAGATCAGCTACTTACTTCACAAGTAAGAAATGCCACACGTGATGATCTAACTGTATTAACGATATCCGTATCTCGTTATTACTTACGACCATGGTTTATTCAAGATCCAATTATATGTAATTTGTATCTCACAATCACAACTCCTTGTGATCAACAGATTACCTAAAAATTGGATTCTTCGGATTCTATTATTTAATATTATTTATTATAAAATTAATTTAAATAAATAATAGATCTCGCCAAAATCAAATGCATTAAATATATTAAAAGCGTTTATAACCTAAATCAATTGGATCTAGGGCATAACACTTACACAAAGAACCTAAAAAAATGTCGGCAGTTCTCAACATTGTAACACAAAACATAGGCATAAAGGGTTAGCTTTGATATTTGAGTATCCCAAAAGTAGCCATATATTGTGAAGATAAAATCATTTATCATTCACATTTATTGTTGGTTTGTTCTGGCTAACCATTCTGACTAAGTTTCTTTTGAAAGGAGACATGGCCTAAGAGAAAGCTGTGATCACTCTCCAAGAGACTAAAAATCCAACAGGTCTTTCTTCTGAGGAATATAGGTTTGATCGATTGGATTACTGTAGAATTTAGAAAGATCCTTGTACTCATTACATGAGATTAGTAGAACTAAGAATTGTTTTAAGCATAATTAACGATGCAACCTTCTGAAGTTTTGACTTCCCATGATGCAAGTAAATGACCCCGAAAAGCTCCAAAGATGTATAGCTCTGCATTATACAAGCAGTGTGCTAATTCCACTAGAGCTAGCTTAAACGGAAGTCAAAGCACTTTTGTTTCCATAGGTGTTTGTATATGTTTCTTTATTTCTTATTTTTCAGTAAATGAAGTTACTTATTTTGAACATAACTTTTACCTTACTATCAAAATAAGCAATCAATCGTTCTCTAAACATGCCCGTTCAACCTCTTGTACATCACTTTTTCTGCTGGAATATCTCAAGTTCAATGTTCAACAGGGATAAACTTGGACCATATGCATCGAATCAGATACAACAAAGCAATGAAAAAGAAAGATATCAGTCGTACAGAATAAACAATTATCAGTCAGAAGAATGTGATGTTGCCTAAAGATGATATAAAACATTAGTACATTAGGTCGGCAATAAAATTTCAGCTCACCTCAGGCTGAATGCCGCTCCAGCCATTTCCATTCCAGCTACCCAACCCTTCTCCAAAATCTGGCATCATGTTCAAAGAAGCCATTGGCCTAGGACTACCACGCCGTAGTCTGTCGTGGTCACTAAGACCTTGGCTAGAGATTTTTCCAGAAATTCGTAATATTTCTGTCATCAGAGTAATAATTAAGATTATTAGCACTCTAATACACGAAACTCGATGTGAAGAATTTGCTATGGCTTCTTCCATATTCACTACCAGTCGACGAATTAAAAAAAATGTTTTTTCAGATTAAGAATAGAATCATCCACAAGCACCTTATTCATTTATCTTTGAAAATGAGAAGGAATATCGAATTAGATGAACTTTTTAGAACTTAATCTTTAGTTGTTATAGAATCTTTTCATGGCACTTTATGCTGGAATTTTATTGAATAATGATGCTCTCTCATCTGATATAATTCTCATTTACCAACATATGTCGTACTATTAAAGCATAACAAAAGAATCATCTTGAAAAAGGTACTCTCGTGGCTTGGACCAGAGCCGGTCCTGTGTTTGAGGGGCCCTGAGGCGAATGATGAAAATTAGGCCCCCCATCGACAAAATTCAAAGGTGTATTATGCGACTTATTGCTAACTTAAAAAAACTAACATTAAAACAACAACGAAATATATCATAGAAACGATTATATTATAAACCATCAAACCAAAAATTTCAAACAATTAATTAAATACTATTCGTCTTGCTGTTTTAGAGGCAAAAATATCAATCAAATCTGAATAACTTAGCTGCTTAACCATTTCTTTTTCTATTGATAATATAGCCAACCCGTTTAATCTTTCTTGTGACATAGTTGATCGGAGATAAGTCTTGATCAACTTCAATTTCGAGAAACTTCTTTCCGCAGATGCAACTGTAACCGGTATGGTTAACAAAATTTTGTAAGCAATATAAGCATTTGGAAAACAAACATCCAATGTCTTTAAATAGTGTAGCACTTCAATTGCTCTTGTTGCTTCTTTGGTAAATAAATCTTCAAGACTTGTAATTTCGAACATAAATCATCTCCACTGATATCCAAAAGCCCATCATGTTCAAGATATTTCTCAAGATTCAAACAAGAGTTCAACAAATTTGATAAAGTTGCACTCCTTAACCTCTTCAAATTAAACAAAAATCCAAATATATCATCATATAGTTTGAATTGTTCAAATCGAGTTCTCAGAGAAGATAGAGCTTGATCAATTATAAAAACAAAGTACTCAACTCTAAATGATTCTTTTGCTGATTGCTTTACCTCATTACTACAGTTTTCATCAAATTGTTTTTTTCTTCGAATTATGCGTTTTTCTATAAATACAGCTTCAATTCCCATTTCATTTGCCTTTTTTGTCGCTTTATCCTTGGCAATGGCAAATCCAATTTCTCTATAATCTTCAAGAAATGAAACAAGTCCTTGCAATAGGTCGATAGCATGATCAATGTCCATGGATTCAGTTTGAAGAAATTTACTCACAATATTGACTACATGCAACAACCTATACCAGATTATCATGCCAAGCAAGAACTCAAAATCCTGAAGATCATGTGTTGCCAACGACTCGGCTTCACTCTTTATTTTAGGATCTTCGTTAGTTTCAGCCAAATCAAGTAATGCTTCTCTTATCTGTGCAGTTTGCTCCATTATAGGCTTCACACTCTCAACATGACTTTCCCAACGTGTTTGTGACAACGGCTTTACTGTCAACCCTTTTACATTATCTTTAAAAATTTGCCATCGCTTGGTAGAAGATGAAAACAAAGTGTAGATGCGATGTATCACTCCAAAGAATGATACAACTTTGGAACAACAATTCACCATATCACATAATGCTAGATTTAGACTATGAGCGCCACATGGAGTATAGAAAATTCGGAGATTCATTTCAAGTACTCTTCTTTGCACATCTTTGTACTTCCCGCTCATGTTAGATCCATTATCATACCCTTGCCCTCTAATGTCATCAATATCCAGATCGAGTTTGATCAAAGCCTTTTGAAGCTCGGTTGTCAATCCAAGTCCTGTTGTGTCATCTACCTTCAAGAATTCAAGCCAATGTTCTTCAACTGTAGGTAAGTTTGCCGAATCATCTACAAATCGTACTATTAACGACATCTGCTCCTCATGACTTGCATCTGAGTACAATCAAGTATAACTGCAAAATATTTTGCATGTTTAACTTTCTTGACAATTGCATTTCTCACCTCATTAGCTAACAACTGTATCAACTCATTTTGAATTTTTTTGTCAAGATACGTGTATTGAATCTCTTTTGCATTAGCCCGCCGAAGGTGCTCTTTCATTATTGGATCAAATTCACTAACCATTTCCACCATTTGTAAAAACAGACCATTGTTCTCAACATTTAACCTCTCATCATCTCCTCGAAATGGCAAGGTGTTTTTGGCGAGTCTTTTTACAATAGCGATTATCCTTGTTAGTACATGCCTCCATTGTTCTCTTTCCGCATCAATCAACAATTCAATGCTTTTATCAATTGAAGTTTTTGTTCGAAGCCTATTTTCCAATTCAATCCAACTAGTCATGCAACATAAATGCTCTTCATTTCCTTCATGACTTTTAATAGACCGATGCAAATTATGCCAATATTTGAATCCACCGTTACCAAGTTGGCCAACTCTGGTAGCGTTTTTAGCTGTTTTAAACAACTTACAACAAAAGCAAAAGATCATGTCCATAGATATAGAATAGACTAGCCATCTTCTATCAATTGTTTGCTCATTTCGTAGCAATCGCTTATATTGTGAAGAATCAAAATGCCTATTTGTACAATCTTTCGGAAACGAGATGTCATCAACTCTTTTTGGACCCCTTTCAACTAATTAATCCCTTGTTCTCTGATCAATAATTTTCCAATTCCCGGGATCATCCAAATTTAGAGAAGAGCAACCCTCTTCTTCCTTGTCATCTACTTCATTAATACATGCATGTTTCATCACCTCTTCTTCATTATCATCTACTATAACATAGGCAGGTTGACTCACTTCTTCATCCTTATCATCTACTTCATTAACATATGCAGGTTGAATCTCTACTTCATCCTCATTCAACGTATTCATATTGTTGCTTTTAAAGTACTTGCCAATATCCCCTGCTTGACTTTGAATTAATGAAATCTCAGTTCGTTTCCTTTTTCTCTTTTGAGCATCAGACTCATATTTAGGAGGCATGGTGTATGAGTCTATATCTAATGCTCAATGATTAACCTAAAAAACAAATACAAAATATCTCAAATCATCACACAATTAGAGTTTTCAATATAGTTATTATGTGCGCCTGTGCAATTGTTGATCCTCTAATAGTCAATCATATAAGCCGACCAGGCCACAATTATATAAGTCGACAAGGTTTCAAACATTTTCAATTTCTTCAATAACAAGTTAAGGCAAGCCATTACTTACCTGACAAGTAGAATTTTGACGAAAACTTTGGAGTTACACTTTCAAGAATTCCACTGTCACAAGCTCACAACTCCCAACCCTGAAACAAAAATTTCACATCAAACGCACCCTAAGTAAGATAAATACATCAATAAGAAAGGACGAGGATGAGAGAGTGCAGGAAGGAAGGGAGGATGAGAAATAACTCCTCCAAGGATAGGTACAAAAATATTTTATTCATAAAAAGACCTTAGATGGCAAAATATTTTAGATTAACACTACAAGTAACCGACTGTATAATTACCATTATTTTCCAAGTTCTACGAATATAGACATCATTTAACTGGATCATTAATGTCATAGCGCATATTCAAATCAAAATTTTCTATCTTTAGGGTGATAAGTGTTGAGTGAAGGTGGAACTTTATGAAATTTGAAGATGGACAGAATCTGTTTTTCAATTTCTATTGTTCCAACTTACTTTCTGTACCCTTGATCTCATATCGCAATTCCCAAACTTTTACCACACTTATATAATACTCGCACGTAAATATGTTATTAAATCACAAGTAATTTATTTACAACCTGAAAATCAATCCCTTTTATTTAACACCAAATCGTGCATTTTTATTATGATCATTTATATACTTCTAACACAAATATAAAAGCATTCATATTAATAACTAAAAGTTATACTCAAAGAATTATCCAAAATCAAAGATTGAATAGGCAAAATCTAGCAACTATGCAATTCCCGTTCTCAGTTATTTCACTCAATATACCTCTACTAATTTTCTCTCTTTTGCCATAATAACATCCCAAACAAACTTGAAACATAATATCAAGCAATTTCAAATTCTTAAGAGATTGTAACACCTTCAAAAACAATGAAAACAACCTTCAAAACCATAACATATGTGACTTCTAAGATATATATCTATCTATCCTGTATGAAGTACTAAGGGGTTAGGAGACTTGATGGAGGCCTTAAGGTTAAAGGAATTGGATATTAAGATGACAATTCACCAAGCATTAAGAAGTAGATGTCTTCTTTCAATTAAAATCTGATTTTTGTACCTATCCTTGGAGGAGTTATATAATTTAAAAGAACTCAGCTATACTGCGGAATGCTCATCACGGCAATCTGCAGGTTTAAATTAGTTTAAGACTTGCTATGAAGTCATCCCAGCATAGTTATATAATACATTAATACTTTCCATAACAAGAATAAAAGTTGTATAAATCATAGCAAATAAATGCACACAAAAAATGTAAATAAATCATAGCAAATAAATACACTCAATACAAACAGATTCTATCTATATACATTTACTGATATACACACAAAAAATGTAAATAAATACACATGATTAGTGATTACATGAACATGGTGATTGAGTCTTACCTCAACCGCTAGGGCTACGCCGTTGAACTCGGAAGCGGAAGGAGAATAGGAGATGTCCAGACTCCAGTGACTCCAGTCGAGCTGTCGAAGCGTAGACAGTAGACTATATCAGTATATAATATATATGTATAGTGTATAGTATACATTTGTATTATGAGAGCCGAGAGAGACAGAGAGTCCGAGAGAGACATTAGAGATACCTAGGGTTGAAGGTTGAACTTGGAAGCGGAAGAAGGAGTCAAGGAGATTTCGAGTAAACTGTCGAGAGTGGCGACGGGAGGCGTTTTCGGTTTCGTCGGTTTGCCAATCCGATTTGGGGAAAAATGGAAATCAATTGACATTTGGGGAAAATTGAGTGTGGATAGTGGATCGGGTTTAGTGGTTCGGGTGGGCTACTGGGTTGAGAGTTTTGGGCTAATGGGGCCTGGGCTACGGGCTGCCATACTCTAAAAACGAAAAAAAAAAAATTGGGCCAACAAAACGAGGCCCCCTTGGATTTTGGGCCTGAGGCGCAGGCCTCATCCGCCTGGCCTCAGGACCGGGCCTGGTTTAGACAAGTAATGTGTGAGAAGAAAATGCCCATAAACTTTCAACAGTATGTTCTGTGCCATAGAAAGCAAATAATTTACTATTAGTAAATACATTAAACCTCTTCACGTAATGGCTAGTTGTCAATGAATGAACAAAATTGCTTATGAATTGTGTTCTATCTCGTGAAGAATCTTTTCATGGCACTTTATTGTAAACAACTCCTATGATGAACATAATGAACTCTCATGACCAATGTTACGCTTCACCACACGTGGCTCCACGTGGCCAACCCACTACAGCTGTTGGCCCACCCAAACTGAATCAGCCTGCCTAATTGCCAAGGCCTTAAGCCGAGCCGCCTTGCAACTCAGTCGAAGCCCATTTCACTGAGGTGGAAGCTTCTGAAGCCCACATTGCCAAGGCATAAGCCTCCGAAGCATCTTCTATTATCACTTCTTTCAAGAGATTTTCTTCTACACAGAATTCTTATTCGAATGACTGATGGGACATTTGTCATGAATGTAAATGTTAAGTCTTGAGAACAAAGCAAGCTCTGCCTGAGTAATAAATGTATGGCAAGCTAGCAAGTCAAAGTATGATGCCTAGGATTAGATGTCTGAAGTAAGGAGATGAGGCTACGTGTATCCTCATCCAAGAGCCACCATTTCACTCGTACCGCTATAGATACTCCCCCATGTAACCCTTTTGAAACTAATGCAGCTTTGAATACAAGACATTAATTTTTATTCTCTCTCCTGCATAATAACTATATTTACTTCATGTTAGTTCATTGTTATTGGTAATTATTGTACAATCAGTTCATAAATATATCGTCGGATTCCGAACATATTTGACTCGTGTTAAGGAGCTGCTCGCACACCCTGTCTTCTGGAGAATTCTTGATTGTTGGTTTGTCCTAACATGTTGGAATCAACTTACGTGTACGCAAATGGGTCCGGTATCTATTATCCGTGTGCCCCTAACCGAAAACGAGGTCAACAACCAACATTTTTTTGTCACACTATTAATGCATGACAAAAAATTGTTTTAAAATTGGAACTCTCGTGCTTTAGACACAAAATGTATGAGAGCAAAACCCCCCACCAACTTTCGACGGTATGTTCCATACCATTGAAAGCAAGTATTCTATTACTGCTAATCAAATCACTAAAACTTGCTTAGATAGCTATAGATGCTGAATGTATCTTGAAATGGTACTTTGAAATTCATCACAGAAGCACAATGCAACAATTACAAAAAGAATTAATCTCGATAATCTTGGAAAGGCCGATTCGATTCTTAGAAATCATATTCAATGATCCCTGTTCGCGAAATATTTCTTTCGATTTAAATTACCGCAAGTGTACGGGTCGTGACAAGTAATAAAATGGACTTTAGAAGTCTGAGTATCGTCCACAGAGAAAGAGTAGTTCAATTTTACTTATTTCAGCCTTAACCGAAACTAATTGAGTTAAAATAAATTTTGAAATCAAAAACCCTAAATTTTGGGAGAAATCCCCAAATTGAAAAACTCTAATTTCAAATCAAACCATAATTACTTAAATTCACTTAACCAATAAATGTTATGAAAAATAATGAAATGTATTGTCAATTTATGAAAATCTATGTAAAATGAATGCACTAGGATCACGAATCCCCAAATAATTACTGATTAAACTCTAATTTCACAATTTTGATAATTCAATAAGAATTTGATAAATCAATGCTCCTAAATCTATTCAATACTCTCTCTCGAGATGTATTGAACCTATTCTCATAAATCATCAGCCTATATCTCTATGACGGATGTAATTTTACAAGAACGCATATAATCTTTTTGTGAGCAATTAAAGATTTACATAGAGTATAGGGGTATATTTCTATCCCCTATCGGACCCTATGATGAATTATATACGTCGAGTCTAATCTAATTTTCTCAAATTCAGAATTAAACCATCAAGTTCACACAAATCAAGTGCACATTAATTGTGGAAATAAATAAACCAATATAATCCATTCAAATATCCCATCAAACTAATAATTCAAAATTATGAAATAGCAAGTTTAATAATAATTACATGGTTCATCGATCACCTAGTTGCAAAAATCTAGCCTATCATGATAAAAATAACGAAATCTAACAAAGTATGAATAAAATACATCACCGGGTTATCAAAAATTGAAGAAATCTTATAAATCTCGCATCAATTCTTTTTCTTGCCTTCAATTCCACTCCAAGATGAATGTTTTTGCCTCCCCAAGTCGTTCGTGCGGCTTCTGGACATCTTGTTGCTATTTAAACCCGTCCAAATTAGGTTACCAAAGGAGTTGCAATCATATAAGGAAACTGCAAAATTCGGGGAAAAATTATACCTATGCGACCGCATAGGCATAACCTATGCGACCGCATAGGTTTAAAAAAATGTCATTTTTAATCCCTGGAGGTTCACTCGCGGCCGCATAGGTTTTATACTATGCGACCGCATAGTAGAGCTAACTTCTTGTTTGAGTCATTTTGGTCCTCAAGTTTCATTCCTTCACTCCTTGACCTCCTCTCTTGTTCCTAATTGCTCCAATGTTCCCTTATAACTTCCAATTGGTGCTTGGCTTGATCAATTGCTTGATGTGTTCATCGGGTCAACTTTCAGAGAATTGCAATTTGTCCCTGAATTCTCATTTTGCTCCAATTTGGTCCTTTTTCGGCTCTTTTCTCCTGAATTCCACTATTTCCATAGAATTTCCTACATTGCATGAATTTGACAAATTTAAGTAACAATTCTATCATTTTAATTGTATTTAAATCATGTTTGTGATGTAAATAAGTGTGCAAAAACACACTTATCATTCCCAATCTAATTCAAGAAGCAAAAAAGAGAGATTCACTTATACGTTAATTTTCTGTTCTATGTATATTCATATCATTAACTTATGACATTCTTAACCATCTAAACACAAAAACTAGAAGAAAAATCAAAACAAATAGCAAAATTGAAATGCCTACATCACTGAAACCAAATCCAAAATTTGATTATAAGGGCAAACCTTGATCCAAGAGCCTGCTGCATATAGGAAGTACTTGCATGAATGGCTGTAGCTTCTGCCTCTCTGCTAGTAGCTCTGTTAAATGCTGACTGAATCTATTAAAAACACCATTAAAGAATCAAAATAACACATTAGAACAGGATTTTCAGATTGTTTAACATTAAAAAAAAAAAAAGGAAACCCAAGAATCTTAACGTTACAATCCAATTTTTATAGTCAAAAATTCAAATATTGACTGGTCAAGGTCAAAGTCAATCAAGGACTAAAATGAAATTAAATATTTTATTTGGATTATTTTGCAATTGGCAAAATATAAAGGTTGAATTGGATATATTTAAAAGTTTGAAATTTATATATATACTTTTGGAAGTTAAAGGATTAAATGTTACTAAAAAGTGAAGTTAAGGGATTTATTTTGCAATTATGGGTTAGTGGAAAAATTAATTCAACCATTTGACCCATTTTCTCTCATTTCACACCAAAACACACACACACACACTTACGGGAAGCAGAAATCGGCAGAAAAGAAGAGAAAAAGAGGAAAAGAAGAAGGGAAAAAGGAAAAGAATAAGGGAAAAAGAAGAGGAAAGGAGGTAAGGTTGATATCTTCAAGTTGGGTTGAAATTTTCCATTTGTTTTAGGTGATAAAGTATGAATTATGTGAAAATTTTTAGGGTTTTAACTTGTTGAATAATATGTCGAATTTTAGGGATATTTGCACGAATTAGAGCTTAAGTGTGGGGATTTATTCATTTCAAATTTTCAGCAAGGTATGGAGATGTCAAATTTTTGGGAAAACCCTAGAATCCGATTTTGGGGATTTTAATTAATTAATTGTGAAGTGATTATGTAAATGAAATATTTCACTTGGGAATTGATTTTATGGAACAAATGTATATTATGTGAGTGGAATTGTGGTTACTAGTTTCATTAGATTGGAGAGTAAAATTAGTTTTAAATTTGAAATGATGATTATGTTGATAAATTAGTGATTAACCAAGGGATTATAAGGTATGATTAGCTCCAATTAATAAAGGAAAATTTGAGAATTTATTCAAGTACCAAGAGCATTTAAATTATGTTCTATTATTAGTTATTAAGGTTTCTCGATTTGATAGTGGATAAATTGGTTATCATTATCGTATTTCAGGAAGTAACGAGGCGATTGGAAACGTCTATCAGCCTATCTAGCTTGTAGCTCATACCTTGTGAGTGGATAAAACTTATTTTTCAGAAATAAGTATTCTTCAAATTTTAAAGTTATTTATTTTATAAAGTTGACTTCATAGCATGATTTTTAGAATAAATTGGATTTTATTAACAATTGCTTTTAAAGTTAAATTCAGTTTAATTAAATCATTTGACTAGCATGTTCTATGAATATAAATGTTTCAGTATAGCTAAAGTTATTTTAAAATCATCAGAAAGTACCCAGGTGATTTTATCCCAGTCTGCACTGATGTGAATGTGTTTCCACAGTGTATGACTACTTACAGTGATTTTACCCGCTCTGCACTATTGTGAATGTGTTTCCATAGTGTATGACCAGATTATCAGAGGTCTTTGGGACCCACTCTCGTACACACATAGGCTTTGGGTCGTGTACTAGGGTGATTAGCCTTTGGGGCAGCTCTGCGTACGTATGACCAGATTATCAGCTATCAGATTATTAGATTTGAATGTCTTTGCCTTGTACATCGAGATTACTCTGTACATGAGTAAGGCTATTCATTGGGTACTCTTTTTGGTGTGATTTTTCAGTAATTATTCTATTATCAGATTTCAGATTATGGAATTCAGTTAATTCAGTTTTCAGAATAAAGCTTTCAGCTTATAGTATTAAGGCGGCAATATTTCATAATTTTTCATGGATATCAGAGTATTTATAGTCATTATGTTATACAGTTGCCTTTCTAGAATTATGTCCAAGAAATTATGATATGATCATGTTTAGTTTTTTAAAAGTGTTACTATTCTTTTTAGAAGTTCTTAACGTTAAATAGTGCAAGAATTTTCAGAAAATAGCATAAATGGAAAAGTTTATTTATTTTCAACTATCCACTCACTGAGTTATAAACTCATATCTTTTTACCATGTTTTCCTATCAGGAGAAGGTCGATTTTGAGATATTTGGGAAAGCCTGCTGAAGTAAAAGAGACCGTTTCATAAGTATGTAACGAATAGTTGGAGAACTTATGTTTATTAAGTAATTGTCTAATTTTGGGTGACAAGCATATTTGTAGAAGGGTTTGTAAGTGATGTAATACTTGCATGTTGACATGATGATGTTGTAGAAACACTCAGTCGAATTTTGTTATATTCTGTAGTAGTTGTAGTGGTATTAGAGGAAGTGGTGGTTTCCAAAACTTTTGATTTAAATGTCTATTTGAGATTTTGATGATTTTTCAGGTTGGTTTTGTCCATATTACAGGGGAAGCTCTGTCAAAATTTTCATAGAAATTAGCACAGTCAAAATAGGTCAAGTTTGCCTTGGTGGTGGGTCCGGCATTTAGTTGGCATCTACTATCGGCGCACGACATGTGTCGAGTCAATTAGGTTGAGTCGGGACGGGTCGTGTCAATTGGTATCAGAGCATGGTCTTAGAGTTTATGAGTAGCATTGCATGTATCTGATGTTGGTATGTTACACCTTATTGTAGGTAAGTCATGCGAGGTAGAGGCAGAACCCGCAAGCACCAAAATCCAGTATCTCAAGCTCCAAATACTCCTGAAGAAAGACATGTTGGAGGGGTCAGTGGGGCTGTTGAATCAGTGCACCAGTCTCAGGTGCAACCTGACCCCATCACAGATAGAATAGCTGCAGCTATTGCTTCCCTTCTACCAAATACTGATAGAGATAATTCTATAGAGAGAGCGATGAAACTTGGAGAAAAATTTTTTATGGGTACATCTAATCCAGCTAATGCCGAACTTTGGATGAAGACCTTGGAAAGCATATTTGATGTGATAGAATGCTCCGAGGATAAAAAATTACGCATTGCTGTATTTTTATTGAAAGGGGGAGCTGCTGATTGGTGGATTTCGTTTCGAAGTCGGTATCCATATCCTAGTGTTATCACCTAGACTATTTTCAAGGAAGCTTTATTTGAGACATATTATCCACCATTTTATCGCGACGCAAAGCAAAACGAATTTTTAAGATTGGTTCAGGGGTCTATGACAATTGCTGAATATCATGTAAAGTTTGTTGAATTGTCTAAATATGCAAGTGCTTTGGTTGCTGAGGAGAGAGATAGGTGTAGACGGTTCGAGCAAGGGTTGAGAGCTGAAATTCGACCTATGGTTACTGCTCATGGGCATCAAAATTTTGGTTTGTTGGTTGAGGCGCCATTAAGAGTTGAGACAGCTATTCGTGAAGGGAGTAATCAAGGAGCACAGGTGACCTTTCGAGGTGGTAGTAGTCAATCAGGAGCTTCAGGAGAAAGGTTCAAGAAGAACAGAAAGGGATTTTGGCCAGGTGCCACTAAATCTGGCAATTTTAAATCTAAGTCTGGGAGTTCTAGCTCTAGTCAAGGATCAAGACATAGCCAGAGTTTTGGACAGCAGTCAGTGGGAAGCCATTCTTTTATACAGGGTCCTTCACAGAGAATTCAAGGAGCGAGACAGATTGAGGTTTCTGATCATAGGAGCTTTCCACAGTGCCAGTCTTGTGGGAAGTTTCATCCAGGCGAGTGTCTTCGAGGGGTTGGAGTTTGTTATCAGTGTGGTCAGATGGGACACATAAGGAAGGATTGTCTAGCTAGATCTCAGCAGATTGGAACATCTCAGATAGTATCTCCTCAGCCAGGGATCGGTACGACCAGACAGAACAGGGATCAAAGAGCTCCATCAGCAGGGTCGATGGGGAACACACAATCTAATTCTGGTAGGGATAGTGCTTCTAGACAGGGAGCTCAGGCAGGTCGATCCAGGACTCAGGGCAAGGTGTTTGCTATGACACAGCAGGAGGCAGAGGAGTCACCAGATGTGGTAGTGGGTATATTATCTATTTTTGGTAGAAAAGCTCGTTCTTTAATTGATTCGGGTGCTACGCATTCCTTTATTTCTCACACACTTGCTAGTTATGCTGATCAAATGTCAGAGCCTTTAGATAATGAATTGGTAGTAGTGACTCCAGTAGGGGACTCACTTTTAGCAAATCGTGTATATAAAGATTGTGGGATTAGAGTGAACAATCATGAGTTGAAAGCAGATTTAATTCCTCTTGACATTCATGATTTTGATGTTATTTTGGGGATGGATTTTCTATCTAATCACCATGCTTTGGTTGATTGTTTTCGCAAGGAAGTGGTATTAAGAAGCCCAGGAGAGCTTGAAATTGTTCTCACTGGAGAGCGCAGAATTTTGCCATCTTGTGTAATATCGGTCCTAGATGCTCGCAGAATGCTCAAAAAGGGTTGTGATGCATATTTGGCCCATGTAATTGATACTCAGATTACAAAGCAGGCAATTGATGATATATCAGTTGTGCGAGATTTTTCCGATGTCTTTCCAGAAGATCTTCCGGGATTGCCTCCAGACAGAGAGATAGAATTTTGTATTGATTTGATTCCCGGGACAACACCTATTTCACAGGCACCTTACAGAATGGCTCCAGCAGAGCTAAAGGAATTGAAAGTTCAGTTGCAGGATTTAGTTGATAAGGGTTTTATTAGACCCAGTATATCTTCATGGGGAGCTCCAATCTTATTTGTTAAGAAGAAAGATGGCACAATGAGATTATGTATTGACTACAGACAGTTGAATAAAGTGACAGTTCGCAACAAGTATCCGTTGCCTCGCATTGATGATTTGTTTGACCAACTTAGAGGTGCCTCAGTATTTTCAAAGATCGATTTACGTTCAGGTTATCATCAGCTCAGAATTAGAGATGTTGATGTACCAAAGACTGCTTTTCGATCTCGGTATGGTCATTATGAATTTTTGGTGATGCCGTTTGGATTAACTAATGCCCCAGCTGCATTTATGGATTTGATGAATAGGGTGCTTCACCCATATTTAGATAAGTTTGTGATTGTTTTTATTGATGATATCTTTGTTTACTCTCGCAGTAGAGATGAGCATGCTGAGCATTTGAGGATTATTTTGCAGACTTTGCGAGATAAGGAGTTGTATGCTAAGTTCAGCAAATGTGAATTTTGGTTGGATAAAGTTGTGTTTCTGGGTCATGTCATCTCAGCAGAAGGCATTTATGTAGATCCTCAGAAAATTGAGGAGTTATGAGATGGGAACGCCCTACTAATGTTACAGAAGTACGGAGTTTTCTTGGGCTAGCAGGTTATTATCGTCGATTTGTAGAGAATTTTTCCAAAATTGCTCTTCCTTTGACTAGTTTGACTCGGAAGAACACAAAATTTGTGTGGAATGAGGAATGTGAAAAGAGTTTTCTAGAGTTGAAGAAAAGATTGACTTCTGCTCCTATACTTACCCTTCCATCTCCGGGTGAAGAGTTTGTGATTTATAGTGATGCTTCACGCCAAGGATTGGGTTGTGTTTTAATGCAAAATGGGAAAGTTGTAGCTTATGCTTCAAGGCAATTGAAAAATCATGACTTAAACTACCCAACTCATGATTTGGAGTTAGCTGCAATAGTGTTGGCATTGAAGATTTGGAGGCATTATTTTTATGGTGAGAAATGTCAAATATTTACTGATCACAAAAGTTTGAAGTATATTTTTGATCAGAAGTAACTGAATTTGAGGCAGAGAAGATGGTTGGAGTTGATTAAGGATTATGATTGTAAGATTGATTACAATCTAGGGAAAGCTAATGTGGTTGCAGATACTCTCAGTAGAAAGACTAGTTCTTCCTCTTCAGCTAGTGCAGTTTATGCTTCTTTGATTTGCGAATTCAAGAAATTGCATGCTTATTTGTCAGCTACTACTTCAGGTGCTGTATTAGCTCATTTTCAGGTGAGGCCTACTTTGATTGATAAGGTTAGAGAAGCTCAATCTCAAGACCATACATTGAGAATATTGAAAGCAGAAGTTAGTACTGGATTAAGAACGGATTATGTGATTAGAGATGATGGGGCGTTGGCTATGGGTAATAGATTATGTGTTCCAGATATTCCAGAATTGAAGAAAGAGATTTTGGAAGAAGCACACAGTTCTGCTTATGTTATGCATCCAGGTAGTATTAAGATGTATCATACATTGAAAGATCATTATTAGTGGCTTGGTATGAAGAGAGAGATAGCAGATTTTGTATCTAAATGCCTTATATGTCAGCAGGTAAAGCCAGTTCGTCAGAAAACAGCAGGACTTTTACAACCATTGCCTATTCAAGAGTGAATTGGGAACACATTACTACGGACTTTTTATTTGGTCTTCCTCGTACTCAAAATGGTTATGATGGAGTTTGGGTGATTGTAGATCATTTGACCAAAACTGCCAAGTTCTTGCCGATCAAAGCCACTTATACTTTAAATAAGTTGGCAAAGTTGTATGTGGATGAGATAGTGAGCTCATATAGTACTCCATTATCTATTGTGTCTGATAGAGACCCTCGTTTTACATCTAAATTTTGGCCCAGTTTACAAGAAGCCATGGGTACTAAATTACATTTCAGTACAGCTTTTCATCCTCAGACAGATGGCCAATCAGAGATGACCATACAGACTCTTGAGGATATGTTGAGGGTATGTGGTTTAGAGTTCAAAGGTAGTTGGGATTCACATTTGTCATTGATGGAATTTGCTTACAATAACAGCTACCACTCCAGTATAGAAATGGCTCCTTTTGAAGCTTTATATGGTCGAAAGTGCAGAACACCAGTTTGTTGGGATGAAGCTAGTAAGAGGAAGTTAGTAGGCCCTGAATTGGTTCAAATGACGTCCGAAAATGTGAATTTGATCAAGGAAAATTTGAAAATAGCTCAGAATAGACAGAAAAGTTATGCGGATAGGCGCAGGAAAGATCTTGAATTTGCAATAGGAGATAAAGTTTTTCTTAAATTATCTCCTTGGGAAGGTGTATTGAGATTTGGTAAGCGAGGAAAATTAAGTCCACGATATATTGGACCATATGAGATTATTGAACGGATTGGCCCAGTAGTATATCGATTAGATCTGCCAACAGAATTATCTCGGATCCATGATGTTTTCCATGTCTCTATGCTGCGCAAGTACATTGCAGATCCTTCTCATGTTCTAGAATCTTATCCAGTCCATTTGAAGGAGAATTTAACTTATACAGAGGAGCCAGTGAGAATTCTAGACAGGAAGGTGCAAATTCAGCGGAACAAGACAGTTTCATTTGTTAAGATACTTTGGCAGAATCAGACAGTAGAAGAGGCTACGTGGGAGAATGAGAATCTGATACTTGCTCAATATCCTCACTTATTCATTAACCAGTCAATTACCAGTTGAATTTTGAGGACGAAATTCTTTTAAGGAGGTAAGATTGTTACAATCTAATTTTTATAGTCAAATATTGAAATATTGACTAGTCAAGGTCAAAGTCAATCAAGGACTAAAATGAAATTAAATATTTTATTTCAGTTATTTTGCAATTGGCAAAATATAAAGGTTGAATTGGATATATTTAAAAGTTTGGAATTTATATATATGCTTTTGGAAGTTAAAGGATTAAATGTTACTAAAAAGTGAAGTTAAGGGATTTATTTTGCAATTATGGGTTAGTGGAAAAATTAATTCAACCATTTGACCCATTTTCTCTCATTTCACACCAAAACACACACACACACACTTACGGGAAGCAGAAACCGGCAGAAAAGAAGAGAAAAAGAAGAAGGGAAAAAGGAAAAGAATAAGGGAAAAAGAAGAGGAAAGGAGGTAAGGTTGATATCTTCAAGTTGGGTTGAAATTTTCCATTTGTTTTAGGTGATAAAGTATGAATTATGTGAAAATTTTTAGGGTTTTAACTTGTTGAATAATATGTCGAATTTTAGGGATATTTGCACGAATTGGAACTTAAGTGTGGGGATTTATTCATTTCAAATTTTCAGCAAGGTATGGCGATGTCAAATTTTTGGGAAAACCCTAGAATCCGATTTTGGGGATTTTAATTAATTAATTGTGAAGTGATTATGTAAATGAAATATTTCACTTGGGAATTGATTTTATGGAACAAATGTATATTATGTGGGTGGAATTGTGGTTACTAGTTTCATTAGATTGGAGAGTAAAATTAGTTTTAAATTTGAAATGATGGTTATGTTGATAAATTAGTGATTAACCAAGGGATTATAAGGTATGATTAGCTCCAATTAATAAAAGAAAATTTGAGAATTTATTCAAGTACCAAGAGCATTTAAATTATGTTCTATTATTAGTTATTAAGGTTTCTCGATTTGATAGTGGATAAATTGGTTATCATTATCGTATTTCAGGAAGTAACGAGGCGATTGGAAACGTCTATCAGCCTATCTAGCTTGTAGCTCATACCTTGTGAGTGGATAAAACTTATTTTTCAGAAATAAGTATTCTTCAAATTTTAAAATTATTTATTTTATAAAGTTGACTTCATAGCATGATTTTTAGAATAAATTAGATTTTATTAACAATTACTTTTAAAGTTAAATTCAGTTCAATTAAATCATTTGACTAGCATGTTATATGAATATAAATGTTTCAGTATAGCTAAAGTTATTTTAAAACCATCAGAAAGTACCCAAGTGATTTTATCATAATCTGCACTGATGTGAATGTATTTCCACAGTGTATGAATAGTTACAGTGATTTTACCCGCTCTGCACTATTGTGAATGTGTTTCCATAGTGTATGACCAGATTATCAGAGGTCTTTGGGACCCACTCTCGTACACACATAGGCTTTGGGCCGTGTACTAGGGTGATTAGCTTTTGGGGCAGCTCTGCGTACGTATGACCAGATTATCAGCTATCAGATTATCAGATTTGAATGGCTTTGCCTTGTACATCGAGATTACTCTATACATGAGTAAGGCTATTCATTGGGTACTCTTTTTGGTGTGATTTTTCAGTATTTATTCTATTATCAAATTTCAGATTATGGAATTCAGTTAATTCAGTTTTCAGAATAAAGCTTTCAGCTTATAGTATTAAGGCGGCAATATTTCATAATTTTTCATGGATATCAGAGTATTTATAGTCATTATGTTATACAGTTGCCTTTCTAGAATTATGTCCAAAAAATTATGAAATGATGATGTTTAGTTTTTTAAAAGTGTTACTATTCTTTTTAGAAGTTCTTAACGTTAAATAGTGCAAGAATTTTCAGAAAATAGCATAAATGGAAAAGTTTATTTATTTTCAACTATCCACTCACTGAGTTATAAACTCATATCTTTTTACCATGTTTTTCTATCAGGAGAAGGTCGATTTTGAGATATTTGGGAAAGCCTGCTGAAGCAAAAGAGACCGTTTCATAAGTATGTAACGAATAGTTGGGGAACTTATGTTTATTAAATAATTGTCTAATTTTGGATGACAAGCATATTTGTAGAAGGGTTTGTAAGTGATGTAATACTTGCATGTTGACATGATGATGTTGCAGAAACACTCAGTCGAATTTTGTTATATTCTGTAATAGTTGTGGTGGTATTAGAGGAAGTGGTGGTTTCCAAAACTTTTGGTTTAAATGTCTATTTGAGATTTTGATGATTTTTCAAGTTGGTTTTGTCCATGTTACAGGGGAAGCTCTGTCAAAATTTTCATAGAAATTGGCACAGTCAAAATAGGTCAAGTTTGCCTTGGTGGTGGGTCCGGCATTTAGCTGGCATCTACTATCGACGCACGACACGTGTCGAGTCAATTAGGTTGAGTCGGGACAGGTCGCGTCACTTAACTTCTTAAAGAAATGGGCAGTACCTTTCAACATCTGTATTGCTCCTTATATGTGGAGAAGGAACACTTCTTGCAGGAGAAAAGTTCAAATTTTGGGGGTACAAACTAGACATGACTAGTAAATGTATAAACAAGAAGGATTTTTCTATAGGGAAGAGGACTAAAGAAGATCGAGAAATAAGGGGAAAAAAATATACGGTAGAACACTGCCTATCTTCAACCGAAAATATCTGAAAGAAAATGGAGTAAAAGAAGAAGCAATGAGACAAAAATTGTGAAATTGGAGGCTATATATATATGCACTGTGCACAAGTTGAGAGAGGGCTGGGGTGCGGGAGACAGAAGAGGCGTTGGCCTCTTATGTAAGGCGCCTCAATGCTTTCATCAGGACATGCTGTGTAGTTCAGAGGTAAAATTTGTGGACTACGCGCCATATTTGTGCGTGGTCCTAAAAATTTGAACTTTTTTTCTTAAAAGATGTTTGATAACCTGTTAAAAATAAGTGAATTATTGGGGTAATTAGCACAAAACGTCCCTACCTTTCGATGTTTTTTGGAAAACGTCCCTACCTTTCATTTTTTGGCGGATTACACCCTCACCCTTACCTTTTTTTGCGCAAAACGTCCTTCTGTTAACTCTCCGTTAAAATGCTCCGTTAAATCAAAAAGGTAATTAGCACAAAAGGTCCCTACCTTTTAAAGTTATTGTGCAAAACGTCCCTACCTTTTATTTTTTAGCATAATTAGCAGAAAAGGTCCCTACTTTTCAATATTATTGTGCAAAACGTCCCTACCTTTCATTTTTAGCATTTTTACCCCTACATTTCATATTTCATTGCGCAAAAGGTCATTTTCATCCATTTTTTCAATAAAATGACGATTTTACTCTCCTATTCAAATAAAACAAAAAGAAAAGATGAATTATCAACTGCAACCATAGTCCTTAAATTTTTAAAAAATTACAAAAAAATCATAAATTCTCAACCACCACCATTTTCACAACCTATCAAGCTGTCAACTATAAATCCACATAATACCACCTTTCGGCCACCATGTCTACCGGACTCCACCACCGTAAATGTGGTTGTTTCGGATAGATTGATGACCAATACTATGGAGGACGATATTGGGGAGAGTGAGGCGATGCTGGTGGTGGTGGAGTCCGATAGGTGTTGTGGTCGAAAAGTGGTGCTATATGGATCTATAGGTGGTGGCTTGGTGGGGTTGTGAAAGTGGAGGTAGTGGAGAATTTAGGATTTATCTGTAATATTTTGAAAGATTTAGATTATGATTGCAATTAATTAATTATTTTTTTTTCTTTTTGTTTTATTTCAATAGGAGGGTAAAATCGTCATTTTATTGAAAAAAATGGATGAAAAGGACCTTTTGCGCAATGAAATGTGAAATGTAGGGGTAAAAATGCTAAAAATGAAAGGTAGGGACGTTTTTCACAATAATATTGAAAGGTAGGGACCTTTTCTGCTAATTATGCTAAAAAATAAAAGGTAGGGACATTTTGCACAATAATTTTGAAAGGTAGGGACCTTTTGTGCTAATTACCTTTTTGATTTAACGGAGCATTTTAACGGAGAGTTAACAGAAGGATGTTTTGCGCAAAAAAAAGTAAAGGTAAGGGTGTAATCCGCCAAAAAATGAAAGGTAAGGACGTTTTCCACAAAAACATGGAAAGGTAGGGATGTTTTGTGCTAATTACGCTAAAATTAAGTCAAACGTCATTAATTGATAAATAATCCTAAGCCCATGTTTGAATCACATTTTAAGAAAAAAAAAATATATTATTTATGTCAGATCAATAAAAAACGTGTGATTAAAAAATAAGAAAAAATTTTAAATTTATGTGTAATATTATTTTATTGAAAAATGTGTGATTGGTGCTTCGCAACATTATTGGTGCTTTGTTAATAATGAATATGAATCCCATTAAAATACATAGATTGGTGCTTCGCAACATTATTCGAAACTTTGTTAATAATGAAGACGTAATTTAACAAACGTGGTAATATTAGGAAATCAAATCTACAATTACAACATAAGCCATTCGTACGAAATAAACAATCCCTTGATGTGAACTTCATATAATTTCCCTATTTTTTCTAGAATATATGATGCATGTAAGAGTTGTGAAGAATATTCATGTCTATTATACAGCTCAAATTAAAATGTTATTCCATATACTATACAATATTATATATCAAACATACCTCTAAAATGTCAAATATGCATTGGAAGAGTATACAAAAACTCGGTATTGTGTTCGAGTATTACAACGAAACATTGTTCGTTCCTACAAATAGGCTTCATTGCATGTGTAATTTAGCACGTTGAAAATTAAGAGAATGAGATACTCTACTTAATAATTGACCTTTAAATGGAATCCCAAATTTAATATAGTAGCGAAATTCATTAAAATCCAACTAATAATTGATCCAATTAATTATCAAATGATAACAAAAATTTCAAGACTGTTCTGCTCAAATGAACCACTATCTTACGAGAACACATTAATGATGAATTCCACATCTATTAAATTTCAAAATATAGATCTTAATATAAAGATTTGAACTACTTAATTTATAAAATTGACATTTTAATATTAAACCTCTAGTTTTACTATGACAGTGTCGACTCAAAGTCGGTCTTAATCTTAGTATGCCCTCCTAGCCAACAAATATCTAAACCTATCTAATGCTAGTATGCCCTCTAGTCCAATAAATATCTGAACCAAATTATTATCAAGCCCTTGTACTTAACAAGATTTGACAAACAAGCAAAAACATTCTGCTGTCCATCTACTTGTTCTAAGACTGTCTGGTTTTAAAAAAATTTACGAGACGCATCTCTAAAATAGGACTCGATCTTTATTTTAGGCACAATTTTTTAATTTCACAATAAGAAGGTACCAAGTAGATGCCACTAGGTTTGAGCGGGGCTGAGCCACGAATTGTTCAAGCCGGCAAACTAAAATGACACTCATGTATGTCTATTACTTTTGTTCTTTTGCTGACATTTTGATAGTAATACTCAAATTCAACTGCTTAGCTCGAGCTTTTTTCTAAGTCAAACCATAGATCTTCCGAACCAACAAGCCAAATTAACACGCTTGTATGCCTATTACTTTTGTTCTTATGCTGCCATTTTGATAATACTACTCAAATTCGACACCATTGCCTATGGATTATATAATCACATATTAAAAAATAATTGAAAAGTAGTATATGGTCCACTATCCAATCACGAAGAATATTTTTATGCGGGTGAGGAGGGATTCGGACCATAGTCACGTGCTTTAATAATTCAAAATACAGATATATAACCATGTTAGTTTAAAGTCTCGTTTCTCAAAGGTTAATGAAGTTATATGTAATTGGGAAAAATAATTTTAAAATGGTGAAATAGAGTTTTTTAACTTATTTGAGTTTTGAATAAAAGATAGGAAAAACTGCAGCAGTGGTCTCTAACTTTTCTTTTTTTTTTCCTTACATACTTTACTCTACCTTCATTTTGTGTTACTCACAATTCCAAATTTTTCAAAAATATGCACTAGGGTTCCAAATGGATCGAAACCATCAATCTAGCGCTAGTTGACCAAAAAGTTAAAATTTGATCAATTTTGACCAAATTAAAAATGGCAAAATAGTATATTTACATTTTTCCAAATTTTAACATTATAACAATTATACAAAAAAAAGGGAAAGAAATATGCCCTACTCACTACTTTGAATCACTCAAACACCGACCAACCACTGCCTAGAACACCGAAAAATGGCCGGAAGCCTCACCTCTGACGACACCCTCCATGTTGACCAAGCACCTCAATACGCACTTACTGATAACTTTTGACATCAAACAAAGCTATAAATCTAAATCTATAGCCAATTCTTCAAACAATGAACTCAGACCTTTCAAATGTCAATTCCGACATCAGCGACCCACAATTGCGAACCACTTGTCCTAAGACTGCCTCATCAAGGCGCATCTACCGGTACCATGGTGTGGTTGGTGGCTGGACGATTTCTGGCTTTGATTGGATGGTATTGGAGTAGGTGTCAGGATGGGCGGACTGGGAAAGAAGGTGGGTATATATTGATTTTTTAATTTAATTTTTTAACTTATTTAATGTGAGGGAAAATGCAAAGTACTGTTTTGCCCATTTTAATTTGGTCAAAATTGATCAAATTTTGATTATTTTTTTTTTTGGCCAACTAACGGCAAGATAGAAGGTTTCCATCCATTTGAACCACAGGTGCATATTTTTCAAAGGTTTGAAACTGTGGTTGACATAAAGTAAAGGTTAGGGTAAACTCTAAAAAAAAATGAAAGGTTAGGTATCGCTGCTACAATTTTTACTAAAAGATATTATAAAAGTGTGACAACCCTGTTTGGTACTGATTAAAATTCTGATTTTAATTTAAGTTAAAATCAACAATCAATTTTAACCACATATTTTATGGATCCTACAACTTTTCAATCACACATTTTATCAAAATATACTAAAAATTTTATTTTAATCCATACCAAACAGGGGTTGTTTATGTATTTTACCCCTACGTTGAGTCATCTAAGTTTAAATTCATATGGACAAACTCAACCAGTAAACTATTTGACAGTTTCTACATATTTATATGATTCACCGGCTTTTTACCAGCATTGGCTTCTATAAATGTATAGTTTAAATTTGGTACATCGAATTAGTTCGTACACAAAGTTATTACAAAATTAGAGGAGATAGAAAGATATAAAACGGATTAAGGTGAATAAAATTTACAAGTTTTTTGTGCAAAAGAATGATATACGCACTATCTTTCTTATGCAATCTAAACCTCATCTCACTCCAGATTATGTTATTCTGTCAACTTCAGAAATAGTATAAATAAAATTTTCATGAATAAAAAATTGAAAGGTATTATCAACTATAATCTTATCTACTTCTTATATATCTATTATATATTTAATTTTTTATATAATCTAATTCGATGTACCAAACACAACCATAATATTGTATCTCAGACGATAATAGTGAGTTATGTCTTATACAGTAAATTTGAAGTGTGTACTCCTTTTTTTTTCTTTTTTTCTTTTTTAAATCTCTCACGTGTATACGAGTTACACATTCGAATTGCCTAAGAAAATCATTTTTTATCATAGGATCCGTTAATCACATTATTTTTGTATATATTCAACGTTTTTAGGTGATGAGAGTAATGAAACAAAGAGCACCTTCAATGCATTCTAAAGATTGTTATTTAGATGGCAAGAAAGTTAAAAGATTTTTTGTTAACTTTAATGTCTAATAAATAGATATTCGAGTATAAAATTGATGTCCAATGTACTTTTTGTTATCTCCGTATTCTTTATTTTCTTAAAATAAAATCATATTATGTCTAATTTGAATCTAAAAATTAAATATTATTTTTGTTGAGTCATTCCATTTAACAGAACTTCTAACTATAGACACAGCTCTAAACCTTTTTTTCTTTTTTTTTTTCTCTGTCATGCCCACTTGATAAGAGTCCTTATCAGTTTATACTAAGATAATTTTTTATTTTATTTTTTTAAACAACGAATATTTTATCTTATGTGGCACTATTGATAAGAGTCCTTATCAATCCACAATTTCCTTGGAGATGATCTACCCTGTTACTATTCAAAGTGCCATTTCTAAAGTGAATTTTCGAAATTTGGCGAACATATATACCAAATATTGATAACAATGTGAACAAATGACATTATTATGATAATCATATGTACTATCACCATAAACTCAGTTAAACCAGTGAGTTATACAATTTCTATCCATGAAAGCGACAAAAAGGTTCTATCAAATGTTATACAGTTACACAATTTCTAATCAACCTTTCACCTTCTTGCAGGAAGCACAAAATAAATACACATTGAACAGTAAACCCACCCATATCTCCCAAGTAAGGGAAAAAAATGGTAAAAGAATAACACTTTATGCTCCTTTCAAGACAATGACAACAAAGAGGAGCCTAAGAAGACAGCTGATCAATAGCAACATAAAAAACCCAAAGAAAAAGCAACATTGATACAAACTCCAAACCTTTTTTCTACGGAGTGGAAACCAAATCAAAGCCACCAATGGGAAAATCAACTCAGTATCTTCTCAGATCTCCTGCTGGCATGTGGATATAGGGGTTTGGTGAGGTAATAGTTTCAGGGACCTCCTTGGGATCGAGGAATGGCACAACATAAGGAGAGAAATCCGGAGTCACGTGCGAAATTGCCCCCGTGGGAACAATAGGAGTAGGAGAGAAGGATGTTAATGTGCCAAAGGGCTGTTGATTATCGCCTGTATATACCTTGACAGGGTAGACTTCAGTTACCTCTTCACTACCTTCATCCAAATACACTACATCCTGCATGGTGAGCTGGTGGTACTCAACAATCTCTCTTAAGAAACGGTTTTCCCGTGCATAAACTGAATTCTCTTGTGTCAGTCGAGCTTTCTCAGCTAGAAGAGTCTCAAGTTGAAGCCTTATCTGACAATGAAATATTCCACAAGACTTGCTTAGTATATACTACGAATGTGTTGAAAACACAGACAACTGAAGCACAACAAACTTATGAAACGTGGATGACCTAGATAAGAGAAAAATAAAATAGAAACTGCGCCTTGTAAAGATGGAGATTTCGTAACTTAAAACAAATGCATTTTAGGGTGGGGTGGGGTGGTTGGTTTGATTTGATTTGAAAGTCAGGTTCAATTATATTAAGCCCTTGTTTGGTCCCTATTATTTTCAAAATACATTTTTCTCTCTTGTTTTCAACCACACATTCTTCAATAAAATAATATTACACGCAAATCCAAAACTTTTCATTGTTTTTTAACCTCACATTCTCCATCAAAATCCTATTCCAAAATGTATTTTGTTCAAAAAATGGGGCTCAAAGAGGTTCTAATATTTGCCTGTAAATGCATTTTTAACACCATTACCAAGGGAACTCTATTTTTCTTTCTTTTCGCCGGGTTGGGGGGGGGGGGGTTTAAGGTCTTGAAACGGGTGAGGATGGTGAACGGATGATAGTGATGTCATGGGTGGGGGAATAGACAGCATAGCAAGGACAGGATAGATGCAGGGAACATAGAAGGGCCATGGGATTTGGATAATAATTATATTCCAAGCAGGAGTAAAGTCAGAATAAGGTTCCTGAGAGAGAGACTGTACTTACCAAATCATCGTCTTCAGTGTTGTCTCCTTTTTCATGACTCTCCCTTAGGACTTTATTTTCTTCTTCAAGCTGTGTGCAGCGCTCCTTTGCGAAAGCTAGGTCAGCTTTTACCGTCTTTAGCTCTCTCAGGAGAAGTTTTGCTTTTGCAGCCATTGCCATTGCAACCTGAAATTCAGAATAGACGACACATCATGTATCTCACTAGTGTATAACAACTCAAGACGTCAAAGTATTAAAAGATGGATGTTTGTATGTTTTTCAACACCTGCAATGCTCTTCCCACCAACAGCATTAATGCACCTGTTCACATTTCTACCACTACAGATTTGTAGCACTATAATTACACATACAAGGTGGAAATAATATTCTCAATAGACATAAGGCAACCATTTCAAACCAGATGCCAACTTATTCCAATTTATGAATTTTGTAAGAGAGCAACAAGAGTAGAGGCATTTTGAAATCCACAACACTTAACAGAAGAAAAAATTATTTTAGTTCTGGAGGAAGCAGCCATGGAAACTAAAACAAAAATCAAAACAGGATATGGAGAAGAATAAGGACAACAAGTGCAACCATTGCATTTTCCCAATATTGAACATTGAGAAAAGGATACATGATCAAAAGTAACAGACAGAAGCAATAGTTAAGAAAACTGTAAGCAATAGTCAAGAAAACTGTAAGCTCTGTATTTCCCTGGAAATTTTAGGGAAAGCATCCAGTTCATAGCACTACAAAGGATTGGCTACCACAATATATGTAAAAATGATTTTGTATATTGGATTTACCAATTTAGCATGGACCATTCCTCATCACATTTAATGCAATGCATACTTCATGTAAGACGGTACACAGAATTATCAGTTTATTTTCTTGAACATGAACAAGTAAAGCAAAAGGACAAACTAGACATGAGCAGTGTCACTTTTACACCAGTGCTACACAGTTGCCACCTTACGTCGCGAGATGCCTTCAATTGAGTTTCCAAATCGGTATGCTTATGGGTCTGCATCATTGGCTGTTGACGTAAGTTATCAATATTAGAAGTTTGATTCTGTGATGTGGAACTATTGTTCTTTTTCCTTATCCGAATCTTGCGAGTCTCTTGAATGATGTCGGCAGTACGGTTCTCCACGGTTGTAAGACCCTCCTGCGAAAAGTATAATTCAACAATCAGTATAGCTAAATGTTTACTAGTCTGGTGACAAATAGAAGAAAGTTCCTCGACATTAGCCTGTCATTTGTTTTGTTTCCATTACTATTTATTTTCAAATTGGCTATTGAACAGGGAAAAGCACCTATCCTACAGGTCTGGAATTCCGAAACTAACTCCACATCCTACTGTTTGAAAGGTAAGGTTATATTTCATCAAATGGGCAACAAAGGGATGCCAGCGCTTTACATGATTACCAATGTGTGCAACCATTAATATTTTTGCAAGAAGTCAAAGGATTGAACTTAAAATTTCCTTACTTCCTTGAGGAAAATTCACTTCTGTTCTAAACTGAACTCAAAATGCAAAGGATTACCAACCGATCTGATTTATAATATTCTCCATCTCTAATCTATATGAAAAAGTGAAAACATCAATGTAGAAGTCTTCTAAGTGTATTAGAATAGAATTACGGGAAATATATAATCATAAATCATAATGCTACTTTTACGCATTTTACTCGCAAATTCTTAAAAACTGTGCACCCACGGGACATACACTCAACAGGACAGGATGAGTACTTAAATTCGACTTTTCTTTTTGAACCATGTATGGCACAAATGTATGATGTAACTATAGATACAATTGTACTTGTATATGATAATTTTAAGACCTTGATGGTTTCTATAGCAAATATTTCTATTTCCCAAAAACTATAATACATGACAAGACTGGTGACAGCGACGTCAATGGAATAATAAATGGTGACTCTTTCAACTACCAACTAGTGATTCAATAGTCTTGTTAATTTTCTGTCATGTATGCACTATCCTTTTTTGGGTTTTTGATACCCAATAATCCGGGTGATAATTTAAAACAGTTGTCGGATTATTTATCGACACCATGGACTTGGCTCGACTCGGAGACGAACTACACTTTTGGATGGTTCGGGTTTAGGTTAGATAATTATTTGGTTAGTTAGACCATTTAATAATTAATATAGAGTTGGAAATTGGCCCATTAGTTTAGGTTATATGACAGCCCACTTAGAGATCTCTTGGCCCATATTTGGTGATCTAAACTAACCTATATATATGTATTTATTTCCCAACCGTTTTTGGTGTGTGTATTGTAGCAATGGAGAGGAGAGTTGAAAGAAGAGAGGTAGCCGAGAGAGAGGGAAGCCATGTGAGGTTGTGAGTGAGATTTAACCATTGTGATATCTTCTTCTTCCTCTCTATACCTTTGTGGATTGCTAACACTACCACCCTTCTCCTTTGTGGGGTTAGAGAGAAAGAGAGCAGTCCAAAGTGAAAGCGAAAGTCTCGGGTCGAGCTGAGGTAAACCGGTGTACGTTTGATTGTTTTTTGAGCCCGGAATCAAGATTTATCGAGGGATTTTCGCGACAAATGGTATCAGAGCTTGTGTTGTTGATAAATCTGTGATTTTTGGGGCTAAAAATGGGCTGGAAGTGGTCAGAAAAGGATCTGGAAATCAGAGGCAGAAACTGTCCAGTTTTTCAAATTTCTGCCAGATCTGTTTTGGAGTTTTCTGGTGAAACCAAAAGGAGTTTGGCGAAACGGACACCACCAGTGGACTGTACAGGCGGAAAAGAAGTCGGAAGGGTGACAGGTCGCCGGCGCATGGGATTTCCGACAAGGCGCGTGAGGGCGCATAGGACTAAATCTGGGGATGGTGTCTTCAAGCAGAATGTTGCTGGTGACGATACGGACCCTGCGGTGTTGTCAGATTTCAGTTTTGAGTAATACAGTGAAAGTTGGACGATTTTGCCCTTGACGTTCGGGTGTCAGGTGCTTTTTTCGTATTGCTGTGGTTGTTAGTGACTTTAGGATAAATAGTGATAGTCTTGAAGTGGTGAATTCGCATCTCTCGATATTTACGGACCTTCAGACGTGGTCCGCTCGGTATCGTATTCTTTGCTTTTTATTATTGTAGTTGAAATAAATGAGTAGGTTAATTATTTATTTTTCGCGTTAGAAGTCATCGTGTGATGTGACGTTAGGTTTGGGGTTACCGTAAAGGGGGTAATCATTGCCTGTTGTTAGACCTAGGAATTACATGATTATTAATTGCCTTAATTCTATGTGAATTTGTCATCAATTTTTCTACACCGATAGAATTGCATGTGACCTTAGAAAAATTTACTTGATTGTTCTGTGTGAATTATGTGTTAGTACTTTACTTGTGGTCATTATTTGGTATTGTTGGCATGTATAGGTCTAAGGTAAGTGCGAAAAATAAAATATACTTTAATTATGGTAAAATTTGGGCATAGTTGAAAGAAATTATCCTAAAATGATAATAAAAGGAAAGATGAGAATAGAGACGAGACGAATGTGACTTTAGGGTCGAGTAGTGATCCTAGTGAAGTTTATTGAGAGAATAAACATGGTTCTTACATTGCATCTGTGTGTAATCCTTTCTGCATGTAGGTGGTTACTTAATTCTGTTGCAATGTTGATGTTACACTTTCAATATGTTTGATGTGTGTAATTGCATGAATTAGAGTGACTTATTACTTTGTGCAATATATTTACATGCATAGTGAGTTAAGTTTTGTAGCGTACTCTATTTGCTCTATGAGTGGTGTGAGAGTGGTAGTGAGAAGAAAGTTGGGCAGCCGTTTCACTCCTTTATCTTTGTGAGCCTATGTGGTTTGTGAAATTATATGAGGTAGCCATATTAGGGTTACCTTCTTTATCTTTGTGAGCCTCCTTTTGTGAGTATTGTGAAGTAACCGACTCTTTCTTCGTTTTTTCTTTGTGAGTGCCACCTTCGCCGTTTTCTTTGTGGTTTTTTTGAGATTTGGTGATTGGAGAACCTTTGTGGCCACCGAAAGGTGTTGTTTTACCGTAGTGAGTTTGTAATGCATTAGTAGTGAGTTGGATGTCTTTTGGTAAGGTGGAGTATAGATGCTTAGAGGTGCATTGGTGATATGTACGGGGGATGTGGAGTGTGACATTTGGATCATGAGTGGAGATGTGATCAAATGTGTAGAATCCTTTATCTGTGAAAGAGACCCTGATCAGGTGGAGTGTGAGAGAGGCACTTCTATCACTTCTGTAAGGTGGAGTCCCATTATCCACGTAGGTTGGGAGAAGTGATGTGGTGATAGAGGATTATCCCGAGAGTTTAGGATTTATTGTGACTTACCAGTTAGACATGAGTTGAGTGATCTATTTAGTGAGCATGATGGGCGATGAGAGGAAATATGTGTTCTCGAGGTGTGAGCAACACAGAATGGGATAGGATAAGTGTGGTGAGATCTTTCATGGGGTCATTTATGCATGTGTTGAATACGTGGTTGACCATGGTTTGATTAACTAGGTGTTAATCTGTGGTTCTGTATGAACGTGATTTTGAAAAGATCTGTGTGTGTGTTATCCTATATATCTTCATCGCATAATTGTTTGTTTACTGTCAATACTTGTTTCTACTTGGGTGTTCTGGACCTTAGCCCTGGTGAGTACATGAAGCAAGTATGGTATGTGTTTTGGTTCGAAATACAAGGTAAGGTCTGTGATTTCAATTTTATTAGATTACCTTAATTGTACAAGTATAAACTGTGTGTTTTGGTTGCTTGCATATTACTGGGCATCAAGGTGGAGATTGTTGGGTTTTTGATACCCAATAATCTAGCCGATGATTTAAAACAGTTGTCGGATTATTTATCGACACCATGGACTTGGCTCAGCTCGAAAACGAACTACACTTTTGGATGGTTCGGGTTTGGGTTGGATGATTATTTAGTTAGTTAGACCATTTAGTGATTAATATAGAGTTGGAAATTGGCCCATTAGTTTAGGTTATATGGCAGCCCACTTAGAGATCTCTTGGCCCATATTTGGTGACCTAAACTAACCTATATATATGTATTTATCTTCCAACCGTTTTTAGTGTGTGTTGTAGCAATGGAGAGGAGAGTTAAGAGAAGAGAGGCAGCCGAGAGAGAGGGAAGCCATGTGAGGTTGTGAGTGAGATTCAACCATTGTGATATCTTCTTCTTCCTCTCCATACCTTTGTGAATTGCTAAAACCACCACCCTTCTTCTTTGTGGGGTTAGAGATAAAGAGAGCAGTCCATAGTAAAAGCGAAAGTCTCGGGTCGAGTCGAGGTAAACCGGTGTACGTTTGATTGTTTTCTGAGCCTAAAATCAAGATTTATCGAGAAATTTCCGCTACATCCTTCAAATTCAACATACACTTTTCTCATCATCCCAAAGGTAATTTGTGGTGCTGGTCATTTTGACCTAAAGTTGCAGCACATACACTCTCAGAAATAAATTAATAAATAAAATGACGCTATCTTGTTGTATTTGAAAGACAGTAAAGCCTTCATTATTTACAATGATCTACTAGATCTCCACCACATTACAAAATTTAATTTTATAAATTCAAATGAAAAGAACATATTTACAGTGAAAAACCTGATTATATACGAGATAGGCAATTGCCTAAAGCCCCCACTTTGGCGAGGGCCCCAAATATTGTAGGTTAATTAGTTGGTTGAAGAAAAATAAAAATTATATTTATGAAATTCTTTCAAATATGATTATCAATGTGCAAATACAAGAAACTAATACAAATTGAAAATACAAAAATCTTTAATAAAAACATATAAATGGTATAAAATTTATCACTTACATTTTTTTATCATACATCACAAAGATTACTCTCTCTATAAGTAATTTGACCATTTATCTTTCAAACATCCATTTTCTTTTCTTAACCAAACAAAAAGGTCGCTTTGTATCTTCAAATTCCATGTCCAACAGTAATCCACCATAATTTTTCCCAACCCAACAAGAGATGAATTATCTCACTTTGAATTAAAATTTTAAAGATTCAATTTAGCAAATTGGTCTAGTCTCACTGTCATTATTACAACCTTACATGTTTCTTTCCTTCTCCCTTATCTTCAAAACACATACTAAAGAGTATATAGGTTGTCATTATTATTGCTTTGCTTTAATCTCATCAAAAGTCTTTTTAGATGCTTGTTGAAGGTACTTTGAATTTAATAATTCATTCTCTGTGATCATACTTCTTATTTGTAAGTTAATTTAGTGTGAATTAATATAAAATTAGAAGCTCATTTGTATTTAATCGTCAGTTTCGTTATTTTGTTATATATCTCTCACACCCAACTTTCTCCAATTTTGTACATAAATAACTCAAATGCATATTCATTTTTGTTTTACATAGTTGCAGTGAGAAAATGATCAAAGAAACAAACAAACCCTATGCCATTGCATTATAATTCTGTATGCCAAATTTCGATTATAATTTGTATTGCATGTTGAAATTTGACATTTTATTATTTTCCTCTTCAAATTTTGGGGCTTAGTTGCCTGTACGAGATTCTTCATATTTATATTAAAACTCTCTATAATAAGGCTCAAGTAAAAATACAAAGGCTTTTCTTCAATAGGGCCCTACATTTGAAATTGGCATAAGGCCCTCAAAATATCAGGGCTAGCCCTGCATATTTAAAATACTTCCAAATTAGAAATGATAAAGAAACGTACCTCAAGAGCATTACCAATTGTGCCACCAATGTAATTAAAGGACGATGCAATTGCATCCAATCCCTTTTGCAGTGATGGGTTGTCTGTCTTTCGACGGCTTTGCGAAGAGTTGTATGTGTTCTGGTACAGCAAACGAAAGAAAAAGGATGCAAGAAATGGAATATGAGTTCAGCATCTCAAGATGTATAGACAGACATTTCTCATTATGTAGTTGTAAACAAAGCTAAATGAATCTTGTAATACAGAATGTTTGCCAAAATTAAGAATAGAACATTTGACAAATTAATAGTAGAGAAAATAGGCAGGGCCACCAGCCTATTTTCAATAGTAAGATGAAGTTTTCATGGTATTGGAAGCAGGAAAGTTTAGTTCAGTACAAACTGTAGAAATATAGGTCCTCCCCTGCATTCCAGAAATGGAGAGTCGTGTAAATCTAGCATTTGTTCACAGGAACAATTTATCTATCTAATTTGAAAACTTCCTACCTGACCCTTTGCTGATTTATCCGGCATCTGAAATTTTGTTCTTCCTTGTGTTTCATATGGTTGAGCTGCATTATCATCGTCAATAATTGCTTTAGCTTTCCTAGCCAGCACCCCCCAAAATCCTTGCTTAGGCTCATTCATGTTTTTCATTGATGTGTATTCGTGAGCGGATGAATCCTATTTTCCATAACAAAAAAAATTACTCCAGCACAGAATACAGGTTGATGGAAGACTGACAAGCTGCATTATACTATAGAAACAACAGAAGAATACCTGACAGTCACAAATATTAAACATGACAAAGTTCAAATTCTCAGATCAAATCAATTGGAAATAGCTCAATAAAGAGACAAGTTCTCCAAGAAAATTATAAGTAAAATCAATCTAAAAGATGAATTTATAGTAAACTGATAAAACTCCACCCAGAATATCTTATGAGTGAAAAATGTGTCCAAACTCTGAAATTACAATGATATTGATACTCCAGAACGCTTTGGATACAAAGGGTCACGTAAAAGCATAATGCTATTAAATAAAAACGTCACCTTTAACATCAGGTGAAATGACAAGTGAAAACCATAGACCCAGGTACATTTTCATCTTTTAACATAAGACACTACAATAAAATGTTGAAGATAGTTTATTCTTTTAACATAAAACAGAAGACATTACTATCCAATATCATTCCTTCCAAATTCTCCACTCATTTCACTCTATATTCTGCATTGAAATTCTAAGTCATCAACCAAAAGTAAATTTTGCACGTGCAAACTCATATTGACATCATCATGAATTTTACGACTAACTTATTTTTAAAAATATCACCTCATAAGCCATTCTCTATGTTTCTTTACTCAACTATAACCACTCCTAATTCCTTTCAGAGTGTAACTACTAAATGGGTTAAGATTTTCTCATTCTGCTAACAGTAATGTGCAAGTGCCAACATGAGAAACCAAATAAGGGTCTTATAATCCATACTAACACATCAGCTAATTAAGGAATCACATACAGAAAGATACTTTGATTACACAGTTTCCGCAGTCTCACGATATGAAACGAAGCACGGGAGAACTACTAAATATTAAGGTTTCTTGAAGCGTCAAACCAAAATTGAGCGGGGAAAAATACAAAGTCAAACCTTATTAGAGGACGGAGAGGACAGAACTGGAATTGATTCCCGAGGAGAAGAGAGTGCGGACTGTCCATATGCCGAAGAAAGAGAAGAATCCTTGTACGCAGATGAAGCTCTGATGGCTTTAGCGGCGAGCGCGGAAGAAGAGGACGACGAGGAACTGTCTTCCGCCGCCGTTGGTGGAGGGGCAAAATCGTGATTATAGTTGTTCAAACTTTCAGGAACATCCGTTCTTAGAGTTGTAGAAACCCTACCCATTTGCTGTTGCTGCCTCCTCCTGTACGCCATATACACCGGAATCGGAGCTTATAATCGATTTTTCTTCTTTTCTTCCAATTATAATCAATTTTTGTCGTTCCTAAAATTCAACAACAGGCAAAAATCAAAATCAAATCTCGGAATTACTTTTCATTCTGCCGCCAGATTTGTCTCCAATCTTTCCTCAAGAAGTGCAAAATCAAGTACAGTTTACAACGAGCTCCGATTGAACTTCATTATTTCTCTCTCGTTACATTAAATTATTTTTTTCTTTCTTCTATTTTTAATCATACAATCTTCAATAAAATAATATTACACATAAACCAAAAAATTTTCAACAACTCATTTTAAAAAAAAAACACTATTCATCTCATTATAATGCCAAATAATAGAGCTTAAACACACTACCAGCCCAAATTCAAGATCTGATTGGAGAATTTTCTCCTTTTTATTCTGCAAAATTACATCATAGCCATTTTGGGAATTTGCAAGCTAATTCATAGATTATTACATCCTAAATTGTTGGGCATATTTGGTAAGTGATGTCCAAATCTCTTAGACTATGATGAAAAATCGAGACCCATTTTAACTTCATAGACTATAAGCTCAGGATTAAAGAATTAAATCCACACCACAATTAAAGTAGCCCAATTATGTTGGGTATTTAGAGGTAATTGGTTCATTGGACTAAATGCTTAATACCCAACTTGGAAGTAATTTAAAATCACAAGAAAAGATGGATAAATAAATCGATATCTTTTCTTTTAACCTCCTTATCCCGTTTTGGATGAACTCTATCTTTTTGGATTAACATAATCTTGCAAATCTTCTATCCAAATCTTGCAAGACTCCTGGGAAATTCGTTCTCCTTCCGAAGCCCATAAATTGGAGCCTTTACCTTCATTTTAAACACACCAAAACCGAGAGAAAAACCAAGAAAAAGGAACTCTCCCTGCTTTGTGCAATACACGACAAATCTGTCTTAGTGACTAAAAATGGCCTTCAAATTGGAGTTATCTTTGTGGTGTGGATCAAGTTTATGAGCAGAATCAAAAAGGGAAAAATCGTTCGTTTTTTATTTTCAGTTTTTGGTCTTATTTCTTCTTGAAGTTAATCATTCAAAATCAAACATTAATTGGTTATTTTGTTTGATTTATAGGTGGATTAACTTCACATAAATAATATTTAATGCTGAATAATTAATTGCTTATCATGTGAGATTAATTTTAAAATAAACTAACAATTTACCTTGCAAATCTAACCCAGAATTTTACACTCCAATGTAACTTGCACCAATTTTGCTCCAAGTACCGAAAAAATTTGACACAATTCTTATAGAAAAATACGTGGAAGTTTTTCATTAATCTTTGACACAACAAACATGGAAAATGCAATATATCGATGCTGCCAGCACAACATCTGTATCATTTCTATCAATAATTTTTTGTACCTATGGAATTATTCAACTTGAACGTGCAGATAGGCAAACTAGGGAGTGCAAGTTCAGTAACTCATTTTGAGAGATTAAAATTTAGGTCCCGTTTGGAAGTGATTTTGAGAATTGATTTTGTAAATGTTAGGAGAAAAGTGGGGACCACCTGTGAGAGAAGAAGTCAAACTTTACGGTTGGAAAAGTGAAATAACGGTTAAAAAATTAATTTTTTGGGGTGAAAAATCATTCCCAACACAAGCTCTTAAGGAAAAAACTAATTACCGTCCAAATGCTAGCCATGACTTGTAAATGAAATTAGAATCGTTTGATTGTAAGAATGAAATTTAGGTGAAAAAAAAAGAATTTTAGGGAATTGAATTGTCTAGTATTTGTGTTTTTTGGAAATTGTTAATTAAATGTGTTTGATTAATATAATTTTTCATCTGTAAAATGTTGAAATTTTGATGTTCGTTGACTTTATTTTTTATGAAAATTATCAATTAAAATGAAAAAAGTTGTTATAATTATGGATATAATTTGTTTCCATTGCCAAAATAATTAAAAATAAATAAATAAAATAGTTGGAAAACCAATTTCCATGGATTTGGTGGAAAATGGAAAATGTGACAAATCAAATAAGCCATCAGATCAACTAGGCTCCCCGTTATCATGTCTACCGACGTCGTTTTGAGTTGAGTTCTTGGGTTGTGCCCTAATTGCAGCCCGTATTGTATATCCGGGCATGTATTTTGTCAAATCCACAAATGGGCAAGATTCATATTTTCTTTTCTTTCTGTTAAAATCGAATTACATTACTATTCCATTTGTGATTGGGCCCATATGTCCATAAAAGGGAATTTGCATAATCCCAGTCATCTAGCTAAGGCAAATAAAAGTCAGACAGCAAAATCAACGTGAAGACACGAAATAACAATAAAGCTATTTGTACAAAGTTATGTTATAAAAGTTGGATTACAGACTATGTTGACAGAATCCAAGCCATTGATTTAAAATGATTTAAAATTATGTTTTTGAAATGATTGGTGTGAATGTTATTTTGTTAACCAACTTTGTAACTCACCTTTGTAAGTGTAGCATAGCTCCACGGAAGAAATAATGAACAATGATCCATTCATTTAACATTTTTTTGTCACATAACAACTTTGAGAAGGATCTCTCAACAGATGCAACTCTAACTAATATATCACTAATATTACACAAGCAATCCATACGTTTGAAAAACAATTGTCATTTTTATATAGTCTAAATTTCAATAAACTTTTCGGTGTCTTTTGAGAAAAATAAACTTCCGCTTGTCAATATCATAATCCTTCTCATGCTTAATTTTTTTTCAAGCTTATGACATCAACACTTCAAACAATTAATATTTGTAGTTTATAGATTTTTAAAATCAAACAAACACTCAGAAACATTTTTCTCTTTTCTTCTCAATCACACATTGTTCAATAAAATAATGTTACATACAAACTCAAAACATTTTCTTGCTTTTTAACAATATATTTTCCATCAATCTACGATCCGAAAATGTATTCTTACAATAAAATGGGACTCTCTCTCTCTCACACACACACACACACACACAGCTTTTAAACAATAATTTGTCATACCACAAACTATAAAAATGTAGAACATTTTTTATTCAGAAATTTTGTTTATTATTTACAATTATAATATATAATAAAATTTTCTGGATCCCTTATCAAAGTGGAACCTTGTGCAGCCTACTCCATCTATAGTCAGGAGCGACACGATTGCTCTAATCACTTCTTTTTGTGTTTTTTCAAGAAAGATCAAATCACTCCTAATATTGCTATGTTCATCACGTGGAAAACATACACATTGGGAACAACCTAGATGCCATCTTTGTCTGATTTTCTGGCCAATTTTATTAGAGTAATGCTATTCGTAGTTGCTCACTACGGTAGTCATTCTACGTGGCATACACATGGCAGGTGATTATTTGATGCATTAATATGATTATTTTTTTATTCATTAATGCATCAAATAACCACCTGTCATGTGTATGCCACGTAGAACGACTGTAAATAGCATTATTTATGATGTCTTATACTACTTTCGGACAATCTTCTGAACAACTAAAAGATTCATTCGAGTAGGTGGTGCATAATTATCGTCAATTCGTGCCGTGGAGGGTTGGGTTAAGTCCCATAAAGAGCACAATTGTCGTGTTCATTTATCGTCGTTAAATTTGAAATCCTGAAGAGATTACCAGTGATAAGCAAGGTGGGTTGAATAGAAGATCCATCCATGCAATACGCATGATAGTCAGTCTTAATATCTAGTCTCGTATTCAATGCTTTGCCTACGCCACGCACAGCAAGTATTTTCCAAGATGGTAAGAGTAGGTGCTCTTTTCGTATTCATCACCTTACCCCACTTCCCAAAAAATTAATCCAACCTTAATATCTTATACTAAAGCTTGAATTTTTCATATGAGAACTAATGCTACTGATAAAACAGATGATCACTACTCACCCCTCCTGTCGACGACAAAAAAGAATTCGTAATAATCAATAAATGTTTGGACGTCACCTTTTTAATCAAGTATAGTAGACTAAACAGCAAGAGGCATTTTTAATTTGGAAAAAAAAAGGGGTAAAAATCTTGTTTTATATATATTGTTGCATAGAAAATAACGAGTTTTAAAAAAATACAAGTTGCCCATTACTACAATTTACAAGAAAACAAGAAACCTTAGGCTTATATTCTTGATCCACACAACTGCATTTTTAAGACACTCCGAACTCATTAGAATCCACGGGTGAGTGGTTTACACTTTACACACAAGCACAAGTACAGATTAAGGACTATTATAATGGTTTTGGCTCCAGAAAAGAGGTGGGATTTAGGGTGGAGATTTAAGCCATGTTTAAGGACTAAAAAAATGACTCTGGTTCAAGAAATAAGTGGGATTTTGGGTTTAAACTGTACTTTAAAACCCAAAATCGAGGTGAACTAACCCAGTTGATTAGTTGGAAAATGCAGAAGGCTCATGCCTAATCTTTTTTAGAACCGACAATGATATATAGGATTAAACAATTGCTATACATATACACATGGGAATGCGTGGAAAGTTATTAAAAATAAAGTATCTGAAAGGCACTCACCACTTGAAAGCTATATTCAATGAATAAAGTTCACGAATGAATAAAGTTCGGCATAGAAAATAAATTAGCTTCAAGTTCCAACAAAGCATAGGCAGCCAAGGCATTAGAATTAATCAATTAATAGACCTATGAAATAGGCATATTGAACTGTAAGCAAAAAATTCTCAGCTTGAGTATATCATAATTCTACAGCACAATCTGTATTAGGCTTTTAGCTAGCATTTGGCTCCAATTTTTTCTCAAATTCATTTCAAATGTACATTTACTGTGACTCGTAATTTTTATCGACTTTTTAAACATATTTCATCAATTTTTATCAAAATCTGCTAAAATTTTAATTTTTAGCTGAATCATACAAAGGCTTATGGTGGATATGCTCTCTTAGACCAAACAAAACTGAGCTAAATTAGAGCATAGTAAATTTTGTCAATTGTTATATCTAATTTTCTCTACATAAATATCATAAATAAGATCTTAGCACCATGCCAAATGCGCCCAAAGAAGACAAGGAAAGGAAATGATGCACACCTCCACAATCTATTCCATGTTTCAAACTCAATAATGACAACTAAATGTAAGGGTTGCATAACAAAATAGGGTTTTGCTATATTACCATATTGATTTTATTAGAATTGTGTCACATTAACACTTGGCAACATTTCATTGGTAGTTGGCCAAAAACATTTT